CAAAAAATTGTACAAAACAATATATCGATAGTTTCGTAGCATCGACATTTATCATACGTTGCCGGATACGGATATCAAAGTTCCTAGTGTTCATTATATTGACCATTAGTGGGCGGTGATGAAAGAGGGTAGTTTCTCATTCCACGCCTCATTATAGACCGAGATGAATGACGCGCCCGCGCCTGATCTCGGTACCAATTTGAATATCAAAGCGCTCCCTTCCCGGACTAGATTAAACTGCTATCAAAATATTCCAATAAATGATGACTTTCAATAAACACTCCATTCTTAAACGAACGATAAAATCGATATTGTTCCGCAATAAAAAAACGCTTTGCATAATATTCATACAGGATGTTTACAGAAAGAAAGGAGGTCGAAATTTTTATTGAAAAACTACAATAATTTTGGCCTTTGGAAAGTGAGTTGCATTTTCATGTACTTAAAAGTGGTTGAAGATGAATGACATTTTTAAATAACTAAAGAAAGTAGTGTGATATTAAAACAACCTGTATGTGAACAAATTGTCCTTAAAGTCAACGTTTTAATTTTGTTCAGATTGTACAGAAGTTCAACATTAACGCGATGACCAGAAGTAAATAAAGAAAACACATTATAAGCGAAGGTAAATGATAACATTAAAAACCTGTTCTAATTGACTGAAGCTTCCATAAACAATTGTGTATCGATTGCGTTTAAAATAAGACATAAAATTAAACCAACGATTACGAATCATTAAGTCGAATAAATAAAACAATATTATCTGATCCAATCATTCTGTAGGTCATTGTACCTACGGACAGGTAGACAGAGAACTCTTTATTTCATAAATACTGGCATCAGAGACAGTACCTTAACACCTGTATACTTCGTTTTAAAAATAACAGTCACTTTGAGATGATTGGCGGCACAAATGGGCTTCGGAATTGTTGCGAATTAAAAGTTCCCAGCGGTTATGCGCATGCGCACCACATCATCTTATTACCGGGTACTCAAACACAGCTCTTGGTCAAATTATGCAAGTCCAGCTTCCTGTTTTTGTTTGCAAGCTGCGGTTGTTCTGAGAACACAATGTAAACGCTCATGCTTAATATTATTTTAGGAATATAACTAGAAAATACTCAGTATACTACTGTTTTAATTTTGACTAAACTAATTCTACCTACTTGCTAACTTACTACTTAGCCACTTGTATATGAGACATAATGGAAAATATATTGTCTCGCGTTAATGTAACACATACAAAAGTGAACTAATTCATAGTAGATTTTTTTGTCATTCGATGATTTTCCCCCCCTTAAAAAAAATTCATAGTAGTTTTAAGCACAAACCGCTAGGACTTATCCTTAGTCCCCTAGCTGTAAGATTTTTGGTACAGGATATGAAATCTTAAAAAGGCTAATCAGGCAATTATGACCCCTACCTAGCTATGTAAGTACCTATATTAAAAACTTTTCGGTTGGGTAGTAGATTTACTTTTTGACTTTTCAATGGTTTATAATGAGACAGTTCTCTATTCTCTAAACAAAAACAGGTGACAGTATTATTATTTTTTCTTGTTTCCTCGTATTTCGCGGTCTCGTCCGTCTATATTTACGCCAACCAGGAATAATTTAATGCAACATAATATCTGCATTCTGCATTTAATTATTCTCTCAAAAATAGTCAGGTGTTAAAATGAAAATGGCCGCGAGCTGAACAGTGAAAGGAAAGGAAACAAAGGCAGGCTCTGAAGTGATCATTTCCTAGAGATTTCTATAAGTGTTGCTGTTTGTTCGTTTTATTGCTTCATCTGATCTTTTATTTCCTTGTGAACCGCAGAATGTAAGTAAGTATCTACTAAGTAACATAGGTACTTACTTTTACAGCATTTTCAGGATTGCTTTAGGGGTTTAAAATAAGCCATAGATAGAAACAAAGCCTATTTTATGTTATGTTTTTAATCTTTCTCTATGTGGGGAAGTACTAGTAGGTATACTACTTGTAGGTGCACTGCTAATTGCAATATAAGAGTTCAGGACATGACATCTAACAGACAACTAAAAAAATCAATAAACAGTGCTGTGCAACACATGACAGTTGGTATGACCTCTCCCAAATACAGAAGGTTACCTTTGCAAAAATAGAATTAAGGTTGAAGTTCACTAAAATTCTAATAAACTTATAGTCGTGCCGTAACTTAAGGTCGTAGGTGATTCGTGAACGATAGCAGAGCATTCTCAACACCAAAATATTGATTGCAAACAGCAGTAGGTACAAGGTCGTTCAGACGAGTTGCGCAATATTTGGGTACTTTTATCTAACATCTCCAATGTTCTTAGTCGTCATTCAAATGTAACATGAATTATTTAGTTTCCAAAAATTATGCAATGGAACAAATTGAAATCGTTTTGAATCAACACAGACCCCCGCTGGGCGCCAGGCGATTCAGCCCTATAATAAAAACGTAGAAATATTTTATTATGGATCGAATATTGGTCGATACATTTCGTAACTCGAAGTAAGTGCCTACATAAGTGTGCATATAAATAACAAGTATGGCACGGCGTAAGTGAGTCGTAAAAGTATTTCAAAATATAAAAGTGCAAACAGCATAACGAAGACCACAAGTAAGTAGGATAGGCAGTAATTGGCATAAATACATTCAATCACCAATGCAAATTACCAAGTGCAATCTCGTCTAAATATGAATTTCCAAGTTTGAAACCTTTTGCTGAACAATCTAAGTAAGTACAAAACTTAAAAATTAATAGGTACTGAGGGTAATTAAAGCAAAGAATGAAAATAAATTAAAAATCGATTGCATCATATCGGTTTAATTTTACACGATAAATGGTACCCACCTAATTCTATTGTTTTTACGTACTATGAACATTTATTATCAATCAACAAACAATCAATTTATTCAAGAACATAATATGAACAATGACATTCATAATTTTCTGTTGATAAAATGTAGTTAAGAAGTACTTAAGTATATCGAATTGTTTCATCACCATGATTATCAGCACAATGATACAGGTAAAATCTACTGGGATATGTTTTTACATAGCTACATACATAAGTACCTACTGATAAAAAGAACCTGCTACGATTTACGATAACAAGGTGTATTTGATCCTAACATTTTAGAGATCATGACAATATAATACTTAATTAAAACAATTCAAAACGTGTAACGACTGACGACACTTTTTAATTAAAGACAGCGATAGACGTCACTTTCTCCAAGGTTTCTTTCTAGTTTTAATACAATATGAGAGTAGATGGTTAGGCCCTGCTGGGATCGCAGATAAGTCGCCTGGTGGGACGGTTCGGTACCCAGGCCCGGCACGGAGCAAGAGTTGGCACGGGATGGTTTTAGTCAGTACCTAATTCTGACATTCGATTTCGCCTCAACTAGGTTGGGAGGAGGTGTGCCGTGGTAGCCCGTAGGTTTAAGACGCCCGCTTCTCATGAATGAGGGTGCAGGTTCGAAACCTACCAACGGCAAGTACCAATGTGACTTTTTCCGAGTTATATGTACTTTCTAAGATTATTTAGACACCACTGACAAACGGTGAAGGAATAAAATCGTGAGGAAACCTGGACTTATAATTTCTAATTATTATAAGTTTGAAATCGCCAACCCGCATTGAGCAAGCGTGGTGATTATTGCTCAAACCTTCTCCGTGTGAGAAGAGGCTTTGCTCAGCAGTGGGCATTTATAGGCAGTTGATGATGATTGATGATGAGGTTGGGAGGATGATATTCCAACAAAAAAAACCGTAGAAGGCTATCTCTCTATCTACCTTCCGGGGTTGGTCTATTGAGAGGACTTTGTCCTTTACAGGTGCGAATGGTGGGCATCGTGGGCACTAGAAAGGTGATAGTAAGGTAAGAATTTCGCACCTCCTGGCTCCCAGTCGTATTCCCCAAAATGCCTTTGAAGGTTTTCTCCATCATCAAGAAAAAGCAGGTACCATGTAGGTTTTTTAACACTCTTTGGAAATCCAGACGCTATACATTCATGTAAAAGCCATTCAGCTAAATGTGAATTGATGAGCGTGCCTTCACTTCACCCATAAAATCGATGCCGCATTGACAATGACATTGATACCAATGATGACAAAGAACTTCGTGATCCGGCTAATGCAAGGAAGCTCAAGTGGGGTCAAGTGGCGTAATGAAAGTATAGGTACTCTTAAAGAAAATAACGTTCTATGCTCACTTCTTCCTAAAGAAAGATATAAACTTTTATTAGAACGAACGAAACGAAGTAATGAGTAAGAAGTCTTACGTAAAATTACATAATGTTTCAGATGTTATGATTCCCCAGAAAGCACTAGGAAGGAAAGTATTTCCTCCAGTTAAGTTACTTAAAGTAAATCGCGAGTAAGTAGATAGGTACCGAATTGCACCTTGTGTCCACTTATTGTAACATCAATTAATAATAATAATCAATAATTACAATTAAAAACAGCAAATCACACATAACTTCACGCCTTTTATCCCCGAAGGGGTAGGCAGAGGTGCACAACCACTTTTCACTATTTTATCCGGGAATCGAACCCGAGACCCCTCACCCGGCAGTCGCAATTGCTACCACTCGGCCAACACGAGGCAATCATTTAACCATTCAAACAGCAAATCATTCAACTCTTATTCTAATAAATGTTAGGCTATTCTTATTTTAGGCTCTAGCTACAGTATTTAACCAACACGGTCATGCAATGCAACAAATTAAAATTAGGTACTTTTTAATTCCTTTCTTTAACAAATATTTGCATTTAAACCCAGCAATGTCAGCTAGAGTAATCAAACAGTTAATCTAATACAAATTACATAAAAGCACTTCTACCAGAAGAACATTTCGGTTTCAATACGGGAGATAACAAATCAGAATCGTGCCGGGTCCACATTAGCACGCGGCACGTTCCGGCCCGCACGGCATCTGATAGTTAATACGCCAGCCGTAATGCGCTCCTTGGTACACTATTTCAAATGTTATTACAGTTGCCATGTTGTTCCTGCCGCGTAGACAGCTCATATCGTGCAGAGTAATCGCGAACCTCGCCCTACACCATCCGATATGGACCGCCCGATTCCTTGAAACGGGTATTGCGTGAGACGGAAGCACTGATGCTAGTTTAAACCACGTTTGTATAATCTTGAATGCCAATTCCCAACAAAATCAAGGAAATGAAATACAATACGTCAAACATTAAGTAAACAAATCGTATAGCTCAATTTCATTGGCCATAATGTCTTAATGCAAACCCAACAGTTGTAAGCCGATTTGTACATAAATTAAGCGCCACTTAATATGACAATTTACGAGCGTAGCTAACACGGCTCCGTGTCTCGTGTCTGCAAAGCCGGTAGACCTAGCTGACCAGGGATCAATTATTTTACCCCTAGTAAAGACATCTTTATGTGTCTGCGCGCAGAGTTTTAACGGTTCTTTATAATAAGCGTAGGACTCCGTAACTCGAGTGTCAATGAAGTATTAACGGTTTAGGAAAATGTGCTTAGCAAATATCCATTCATTGGACTATATAGCAGGTAGCAGGTTAAAAAACATTCCAAAATAAAACAAGTGCGGTACAACATTATGTGTACACGACCTTTCACCTAACAAGGAAGGACCCACAAATGGAAATGTTACGTTCCAATCAAGAGACCTAAATGATTTACAACTCTTATGCATTAGGTAGATGGTTACAATTCCAAGTGCTTGAGAGCTTATTACAATGAACAGTAATTTCTTCAACTGGTGTAATGCGAGCAATGCCGAAGTAAGTACTTGCAAGTAATAAATTAACTGCGACTATAATAAACTTGGGTGGTCTTTTTTTTTTTTTTTTTTTTTTTTAAGGGGGGAAAATCATCGAATGACTGCCCCCGCCTGGGTGAGGCGGGAGGGAGTGTCAGACTCTTACTGACTAAAAACCACCCCGTTCCTTCTCCTGCACGTCGAGCCGGAGCCCCGGTTACCCGTTAGGTTCTCCGCGACTCCGAATCGGCATCGGCCCTATTGGGCCCCATCTGTGGTGGTCTGATAGCTCTTTGAGGCGCGCGCGGAACGCGACGCGCCGTACGCTCGGGTCTGTTTCTGGTCAGACGGGGAGCCACCCATGCTCGCCGTCCGCAGGCCCGCGCTTACGGTGGCCGGAGATCGTCCCGCGATCCCCGACGCCCGGTGTGTCCTTCGCGATGGCTGGGTTGCGAGGAGGCAGCGCTTCGCTGCCTCACGCGTCCCGCCTCCTCCTTAGCTAGCATGACTGCTTCGCAAAAGGAGGAGACGGCATCCCAATCCCCCTCGCTCCGCATCATGGCCTGCACTAGGCCCGGACGCGAGAGGTCGCCATCGCCGATCACTTCCCTGAGGACACGGCGGTGCTCAGCCCACGAAGGGCATTCTCCCACCGTGTGTTCCACCGTGTCCTCAGGGCGGTCCTCGCAGTGATGACACCCGGGCGTTTCCTCCCGCCCCATCAGACACAGGTACCTCCCGAAACTGCCATGTCCGGTGAGGACCTGCGTCAGGCGGTAGGTGAGGACGCCGTAGCGTCTCTCAAGCCACTCCTCAAAGAGGGGACTTACCGCTGCAATGGCAGCGAGCCCAAACTTGGGTGGTCTAACTACTAGGTACCTACATGGATGCATGGTCATTCATTTGAATTGGTAGCTATGATGAATCATGAAGTGAAATGAAGTTACCTACATAGGTATTTATTACATAAATATAGAGATAGGTACTTAGTGGATATACGCCAATAATTACCATTGAAACTGCTTGTAGAGGCCGATCTTTAGGTAAGGACTTTAATAATTACGCGCTACCTATCTTCAAAAGCGTAAAACGGGTAAGCATAACAAAAAAAAAAATTTAAAATTATTTTTCTTGATAAGTCTTTTTTTAAGGGGGTAAAATCATCGAATGACAGCTCCCGCCTGGGTGAGGCGGAAGGGAGTGTCAGAGTCTTACTGACTAAAAACCACCCCGTTCCTTCTCCTGCACGTCGAGCCGGAGACTTTTGATAAGTCTAGGACCATATTAAGTACCTATTAAAAAGTGTAAAAAAAAATTAATGAACCTACATACTTAACTCAAATTGATATGTTTCGCACACAATATCTTCTCAAACAATTATCTACGCCAAACACAGTAGGTAGGTATCTAAATATGTACTTTTCTTATTTTCTTTTCCACTCTCAATGCTGTTATTCTCCAGAATCGTATCTCATCCAAATGAGACCGCAAACCTATTTTCCTGTGAGTAGTATTACAAACTACCTACGTAATTTTGAGGCTTTGCAGTGAATCAGTGATTGTATTTGTTGAACCCTTTACCCGTGTGTGTGATAGAAAAGGATGGAGATCATAATGCTAGCTATTACACTGCGTAAATTCCTAAAACAAAATCATTGCAATAAAACACGTTGTTTCAATTTTATATTCTGCGGTCCCGGTCGGAGGTCGTTGACGTCCATGAAGTGGAAAACAGACAATGTGAATAATATAAGGAATGAGATGGAAAGCACCTACCCAACTTTTCAGCCTTAGTAGGTACTATCTGGATTTTGCCTGGATGTAGACTTTTTTAAACGAAGGTACAAGAATTATAAAGATCCTTTAGCTATCCGAAATAAATCATTTGTACCTATTTCTTTAAATAATTTAATATCTCAAAGTTGTGATTGATATTTGTCTTCTAAAGTTACAGGAGGCTGGACATTTTATTATGGACTTTGGTTCATATGGCTTCGGACCGTGCCCATGGAAAGTACGTAACAAATTTTTTACGACCTGCGTATTATCAACTGACTCCACATGGACAAATAAAGTGTACTTAAAGGTTTGATTGGAGCTAATTCTTAAACAATAATAAAAAAAATATATTTCAAAATATTATTATATTTTTAGTCGATTTTCCACTTTTCTTAGTATCACTATAATTCTATCATTGCTGTCAACCCTAGACTTTAAACTAAATGTCAGATGATAAGTGCTATTGACATTTGACGATTACGACATTGACATTTCAAAACAACCTCGAAAAGATTTAATTTTTCTTGAGTTGATTAGATTTTCTGAAACTTATTAATAATGGGCAACTGGAAACTAGAGGTCGGTAGAATGGCCATGTACACATCTTTTCCTGTAGGTCTCTTTTTCTTCTTCAACCAACCGACCTATTTCGAGGAATGGGTTACAAACACGAAGCGACAAATCTTTCCACCGGAGAACATGAAAGACAGAGAAGCTATACAGCAACTCATTAAAGATATGAGAAAGAAACAAATGGAAGCATTGGAAAAGGAATAATTGTTGGATGTCATAGTCAGAAAATGTAATACTAAGGTTGTAAATAAGGCGCAAGTGCAGTGTAGTGATTTTATATTCAATTGTGTTTGTTCAAATAGTCTTTCAACATACTGTATTTGTTTATAGTACAATTACTCTAATGTTATCTTTGGCAATTTCAAGTGACCATTGAGATAACTATAATTTCAGATATAAGGATATAAAATTGATAGAAGTATGTGCGAACAAATATTTTATTAGTAATAACAATAAACTTAAAACTTAATCTGTTTTTGTTAGTTTAATTTTTCTCATGTAACTTAATGCAAGTCCTAATGTTGTTGAACAAAGTGAAGCATAAATTACATAAGATACTCCATAGTATTCTCCTATTACTCCTGACACCATGGGAGCAACTACACCTGTGAGGGACCTTACACTATTGGAAGCACCAATTAATGTTCCTCTATGGTCTCCATCACTTCTTTTCAATACCATTTCTAATGTTACTAATCTACCAATTGCATTACCTATAGCTAGAGGTATCAACCAGAAGGCATAGACAAGAACATTAAATGATAGAGCTAGTCCTAATAATGACAAACTTGTTACAAAAAACACATGCATGTTTCTTATACTGTAATCTTTATCATGCAGATAAAAACTATTAATATAACCAATGAAAAAACTGGATAATGAGCCTATTACACCTTGAAAAGATATTACATAACCTATATACTTTGGTGATAATTCATATTCTGTTTTAAGAAATAGTGAATAATTTGAATAGTAAACTCCCATAGCAAATCCTATTAGAGCTTTGAACATAAAAATGTCCCAATATTTGATCCAATCTATATGAAACAATTCAACTATGGATTGACGGACACTGGAATACAAAGTAACTAGTAAACTAGGTTGTGCTCCTCCTTTTGTTTTATTTGCTGCTTTCTTTTTAGGCACTTTACTGTCTATCTTTGGCAAGAAATACACCAATCCTGTAAAAAAGAAAATCAACATAAACAAACTACATAACAAATTCACACCTTATCTCATGAGGACTAGGGATTAATTTACTACCTACCTACCTACTATGATTTAAGCAATTTTATAGCTTTCATCACATTCACCCTTTTTTAACTTCCTTCCCTAAAAGGAGGATGTTATCAATTAGCCTGTATGTTTTTTTTTTTTTTTAGGAATCTCTCTCAGGTGTGCATAATGGTCCCCTATATTCTTTAGCAATAGCATTAGAAAAAAACCTGTTTCATGCTTTAGTCCATTCTTGTAAGAAAAGAATTTGTATCAATAGTTTCTCACCAGAATTAATGGCAAAGCATATCCCTACAATTACAGCAACCAACAAGAATCCACTCTCAGGGTGGTCTTCAGCTATGTGACCACCAATCACTGGGCCAAGGGTAATACCAGCTCCTGATATGGCTGCCATCTTCCCATATATTTCAGCTTGTCTCTGTTCATTCTTTTCATAATCAGGCACTAACGCTTTTGTCAACATTTGTGTCTGTTTAAATAGTCCTGCAAATAAAATAGTTTATTATTGCTTTCTTGGAATTTAACATTACAATTCGTAGTAGATGAACCCAAGTAAAAACCATAACCAAATGATAATGTTTTAAGAATAGACCAATTAAGTGTAGGTACCTATTGTCTGACTGCCAAATTAAATTAAATGAGCATCAATGAAATAAGGTTTTTTAAGTAGGGATGTACAAATTCCTTTACAAAAATGTAAGGTTCTATGACTGACTGAAATGACTTTAAAAAAAAAAAATCCATGAATACTGCCACTTCTACCTACTTTCCCTATTGCAGAATGATATGGATGATGAGAAAACAAATTAATTTAACCTTCTATGTACCTAACACTGCTCTAATCACCATTATAACAAGTATTGAACTAGTGAATCCCATCACAGTGTATGCAATGCCACATAAAAGCAGTGTCATTATTAAAATATTTTTCCGCCCCTTCAGGTCACTCAAACTGCCCTGAAAAATTATTTTTATTAATCATGAGTTGAAATCTTTTATATCTGACAATTATTGAGCAATGGTAAAAGATACTCACTATTAGGGGTCCAGAACCCAACTGGAATCCTGCGTAAACAGATCCAAGTAACCCCACATAGACATGATTCCCGCCCATATCGCGAACATGTCCAGCTACTAAAGGTACAATAAGGCCAACAGCTAAAAGATCCTGGAAATGTAATACAATAGTATATATGTTTTGTACAATAATAACAATTTTAATAAATTACGAAAAAGATACCTACCAAAAATGCAACAGCTTGTATAAGGTAAATCGCAAAAGACATCTTTGATTTCTATTTCACTCTACAAATTTTATACAAAATGTTAGGCACTTTCCCAGGAAACAAGTAGTTATAATTTAATCAGAAACGTATTATCATAATCATATTTTATATTACACTGACCAAACCATAAAAATAATAAAAATGTCACTGAAGTGACAGTCACTGACAGTTCACAGTAGTGACAGATGAGTGACTTGAGTGACAATAACTACCTGACGCACGCACTTTGACGCTACCTCAATAAGCAAGAAACCAAACGTAAATTATCCTTGTCTCGTCCATTATATACCAGACCGAAAAATCTATTAAATGAATCAGTCGTTCCTTATTTAGCTATGTTTGAGCAAAACATAATTTTCCATCCTCTGTACATGTTAAAAGGTTAACCCGCTGTTGGGCTTTGTACCCATGGGTACTTGGTATACTTGGTATCAGTGGAATGTATGTACACAACATTCTTCTTTAGTACATTTTAAAAATATATTTTTTATAAATATACATTCTTGAATAATACATTATGTTAATGCAAGATCCAACTGCCAATTATTTATGTATATAATTTTTTAAGGGGGGAAATCATTGAATGGCTTCTCTCGCCTGGGTGAGGTGGGAGGGATTGTCAGACTTTTACTGACTAAGTAAAAACTACTCCTGCGCTTCGAGCCGGAACCCCAGTAATCCGTTAAGTTCTCTGCGGCTTCGTATCAGCATCAGTCCTATTGGTTCTCATCTGTGGTGGTGGGATCTGGGATGGCTCTTTGAGGCGCGCGCGGAACGCGACGGTCGGTTCTGGTCGGGTGGCGAGGTACCCATGCTCGCTGTCCGCAGGCCTATGCTTGCGGCGGAGATCGTCCCGCGATCCCCGACGCCTGGAGTGTCCTTCGCGACGGCTGGGTTGTGAGGAGGCAGCACATCGCTGCCTCATGCACCCCGCCTCCTCCTTAGCTAGCATAACTGCTTTGCAAAAGGAGGAGACGACATCCCAGTCCTCCTCGCTCCGCATTATAAAGTTTTTTTGGACATGGCGTTAAATTTTTAAGGTACTACCTTTTACTAGGTATTAAATAAATAAAAAAATAATAAATGATGAAAGAATTTTGTAGAATACAATTATGTTTTAATGTTTTTTTTTTCTTCTTATCGGCAAAAGAATACAATAATAATTGATAACTAAACTAAATTGACACATGAATGCCTGACATGACAAATGACAGTGACAGTTTTAAATATTTATTTTTATTTTACTCGTCGAGGTTATACATTTTTAAATACGTAAATTCCATTTGAGTGTTTATTATAACCAAGAAATAGTAGGAAAATTTACACAATGAGCAGTACGCGAGCATTAGTAAGAACTTAATTCAATTAATAATATGTTTTTATTTGTACTTGCATCACATAAAGTATCACATTTTAATATAGGTACATGTATTGATTAATTTGGGCACAAATACTGTATTTTCAGGTTTTACAGACTTTCAAAAAGTTACACAAAACAAGAATGAAAGTTTTTGCAGGAGACGAAAGAGCACTGGTAGCTGGAAGACTTAAAATTAATGAAGAGTTTCAAAAAAACAAACATGTTACCAATGAAGAAGCAATAAAGGCTGTATGTATTTTTTTTTGATCTGCATTTGTTTTGCAGGCATGGAATTAACTTATAATCAAACATTACAGATGATCAAACTTGGTGAAGATGTAGAGAAAGAGCTACGGACACAAGTTATTCAAGCTCGTGAAGTCAAACCTGGAGTGTTTGGTATGTTATAAAATTGAGCATTCTAATACTAAAATAGCAAATATGATTGATTAATTTTTGTTATAAAATTTGGGATCTATCGTTTTTTAATCCACTACATTAATGTAGTTTCATGCCTTATTTATTGTTTTTCAGAGGCAAGGATCACCGATGACACAGTAAAGTTAGAAAATATACCATTTAATGACAATGCAGTATTAGAAGATGGGACAACTGTAAACAGGCCATGTTGTCAAGATAAAGCTCAAAATAAATAATTATATTATTTATCGAGCCATTTTTGAAGAAAATACAAAATAATGTATTGAGCAAAATGTATCTAAATTAAGCATTACTTGCTTATTTATTTTTGTTATTTAGTTTTTAGTTTTAGGTGTTAAATAAAATTATGTAGCATAATAGGTTATAATACAAATCATACAATTTGCAAACAGACAAACTAATGCTTTTCTTTTAACAGAATTCTACTTTAATCCCTTTAAATTGTTATTGTGCAGTTTACTTGTTAATAAATAATTATCTTACGACTGCTGTATGTTTCATATTAATTTGGTTTTGACATTTTATGGAATAGGAAGCAAACAAGCAGACGAATCATCTGTTGTTAAGCAATTAGCACCACCCAAAGTGGCCAGAACAATCGCACCTTTAGATGTGTCACAGCCACAAAAAACACTTCTAAAGTTGTACATTTTTAGATATTAATACTGATGAATAATAGAAACGTTGTTTAGACAATCGACTAAAAAATTTAGAAATATATTTTTCTGTTTCCGAACGATATTGTAATGTCACTTCAGTGATTGTCAGTTGTCAATATTTGACATTGACAGGTCTGGGTTACTATCGGACAGATTTGCGCAGTGTATTTTTTGGATTTTTACCAAAAAATCCTATAATAATTAGTAAAATGTTGACTAGAACATTAGCCTCACGGGCTGTTCTGCTAAAAGCCTTTAAAAATGCTGCAGATAACGTGAAACAAGCTAAAAGAAACTCAGGCCATGGGTAAGTTGGTTGTTATGTCATTCATTGAGATTTGATTTGACTGACAAAAATAATATCTGGAATTAGGTACCAGCTAACTTGAATAACCCTAACATTAAATCATGTAAATGCGAAAGTATTAATTGTGTTACATTACAGCTGGTGGATCTTATTGATGTTTAAAACTCTCAATCTTTGCATTTTATAAAAAAATATGTTACTTTTTATTGAAAGTTAACCTTTTATTTTCAGTACATGGACATACCGAGTACCACCACCCATGCCGTCTAGGAAATCTGTCTTATTAGCTGAGGGTCTTGGAGCAGTGGCCTGGTGGTGGATCTTTTGGCATCTCATTACGGAACCAGACCATGTCTTTGTGAGTATCATTAAATTCAAACAATATAGAGGAATAATAATATAGTGTAATGTTTAATATGATTATAAGATAAACCTAAACAACATTTTTGTGATCTTATAGCTTATTGAGACTGGTGCCCAGTAACAAGGCAGAGTTGAATTAATATTATCATAAGATTTAAAACAGGCCAGTGGAAAATATTTCAGATCTATTTTATAATTATTAGGAATTCTGTTACTGAATTCTGTTACTGAATCAAATTTTTAGTCCTATAGAACTTGTTCAAGCATCCATTTGTAAACAAGTAATTTTAAAACAAACACATTGTAATCAATTACTTGTTAGGTTTAAATGATGGTATAAGCACCGAGTATTGTCCAAACTTTACAATCTTAAAAATTTCTTAAATTATTAGTTTCAAGTTTATTTGGTACTGGCTGAAAAGTCTTTAAACTCGCTTATAAAATTTTTGTATTTGTTAATTTTGATACTGCATTTTTATTATAATTTGTAACTGTTTTTTCAGGGTGAATTTCCATATGTTGATCCCGGATCCTACACCGATGAGGAACTTGGCATACCACCTGACTCCGAGGGCTCATTGAGGAAGTGAACATGAATATAGATAATTTGTAGTTCTTTTTTTCTGTTGATGTTAATTAAATTATATAAAATAATCTATAGGCTTATTCGTTTGTTGTTTCCTTTAATGAACAATATTTTATATGATAGGATTTATCGAGTTACTTTGTCAAATGAAATGGAATAAATATTAAACTTTGGTAACTACTTTTGTTCTTTTATAATATGGTAGTTCTTTGAACTGAATTTGTAAAGTTTATTGTATCAAACAACTCATTAAAATTAGGAACCATTTATGATTCAGTGCCACTGCAAGTAACACATCAAAGAGTATAATAAGTATAAGCCGCCGGGAACTGGACGCCGCGGCTTAATTTGACTCAACACGGGAATAAACATTATGAAATTCACTGTTCTGACGTTCATGTTTTGGGATGTTTATCTGTTTTGGTATTCTATTGGATGTTTTCAACAAACGGCTTCATATTTAGTTGGTATCAGTAGTTTTAAAATATAAGCCCCTTATTATGATAAATACACTTAAGTCCACTATTATCGTCTACTACTATTAGAGTAATAGAATAAGTGAAGCAACCCAAAATTCTATGACCATCATTACATAACATTTCGCCTTTTATTTCTCGAAGGAGCTAGTAGAGTTGGGTAATTATATTAAATGTTGCTTAACTTATTAGTTCTCCAAAATATATACCTAAACGGGACGTGACTTACTATATTTCCAGCATTTATCTCACGACTAAGAATTTTCTAAAACCGAATAAATAATCTATCAGAATTAAGGATCGAATCTGAGAGAAAAGTAGCAAGCAAATAATTTAAAATTTAATTAAACAAATAGAAACGTTAAAATTGTTAAAAATAAATTTAAAATATTATACTTCGTCGTAGGTATGCTTTTACCTTTATTATTCTGTCATCTGAGTCAAAAGACTAATACTCCAAAACAGCAAACCACGGCACAACTTTTAAAAACTATTTTGACATATATCAAAAACAGTGAAAATAATTTCTCCTGCACGCTTGTTTGTCCTAATTTTATAAATTATCACTTACAATTTATTGGGATTCAAATAAAAGATGAGTAGTAGTTCATTTCATTAATGGTGTTGAAGTGATAATGTGATGTGTTTATAGAATTCGAAATGGAGACAAATGCTAATCAGAAGGGTGAGTACATTGCCACTCGGAAAGGTCTACTCTTGTTTGTGTATGAATAACTGTATCTTGCAAATCTTGCGACATTTATTTGGCTGACGTAGGTGCCCTAAACGCATATTTTTGATGCGTCCTCAATTATTTGCATGCATAACTTATACACTTCATAAAGATTCGAGTTCCGTTTCGAGCGTCATAGACGGAAAATGAGCTTATCATGTTTTTGATGACTTTCTTATCGCTTGAAATTCGGCGTGAAGACAGATTGAAATATTCAAATCTGCAAGAATTATTGATAAATACAACTGTTGCTCTTCTTATAGAGTGTTCATGAGCTTGGTTTAGTATGAGTCATTTTGTTGGCATTGTGATGTCGTGTGCATGTTAAATACTAATAAGCCCGACGTGCCTGCACCTTTGGACGACAACATGTTGGGTTAGACACAGTTATTATTATTAAAATAGTGTAAATAATAACTTTTATGTAACCCCTTGTCTTGACTATATACAATCGTAGGTTATGTTGTTATATTGTTGGAAAAAAAAGTTCTTATAAGATTCTCTAAAATATTTCTTAATGAACTCTTTTAGTTTTTATTATGATCACTGATATTTTGGGTGTGTCTCCAAGTAGTTAATCATTTATCTACTACATGTATTATAAAGTTTTAATTTGTATCATTTCTTTTGCCACTTGTGATTGTACTTATCTTTTATCTTGTTTGTACAATGCATGGGCAGCTAAAGATAACTGTAAGTTATAAAACATGAAATAAGTTATTTATGGTAATAAAAATCATTAAAATGCCTACTTATTGAATTTTAGTTGCTGTGTCATACAAAGGCAAAGGTTTAACTCAAAGAGAATTAGGTAATTCATTATTTCCAAATACCCATTATCCTGTCAATTTTGTTTGTAGTACAAAATATATCCATATCCATTTATTTCCTTTAATCACTTCAATAAATTTTCCTTAAAGTCATCCGAAACTCACAAAATTGTCATAAACCTAATGTTACTATTGCAATTAAATGCCCAAACATATTACATATCTATACTAATACCTACTATAAAGCTGAAGAGTTTGTTTTTATGTTTGTTTGTTTGAACGGGCTAATCTCCGAAACTACTGATTCGAATTGAATACTTAATTCTTTTTGTATTGGATAGTCCATTCATTGAGGAAGGCTATAGGGTATAAAACATCTTACTACGATCAATAGGAGCCGAGCAGAGAGGGTGAAACAGCTCGCATGTAGCTAGTTAAAAATAAAAATTATGTAAACAAAACTAAAGGCTTAGTTACAAAGAAGAAATTTATATTTGCTAAATAATTTCGTATTAAAATGATTCATATTGTCTAACTAATACATAAGTGTATACAATGAATCATAGTACTATCTCAAGTTTATATGTAAGTTTCTACTATTCATAAAGTCTAAGGAAAAGGACTGAATAAGCTATTAAAGGATTGCTAAAATATAAGATTGTTTGTTATGAAAAAATATTATTTATTTTATTCTACTTCTATACATCAATATTTTAAAATTAACATAGTGCTTAACTTGAAAGGCATACATAATTTATTTGTTTTCGTTCTTAGTTCTAAGTACTAAAAAAAAACTATGCAATATTCAGATTATTATCTCAATACTTATTTAACTGTGTACAAAAACTACATATGACTGTTGTTTTAAAGCTTTGCCCCACACTAGGATTTCCTCCTTTGTCGTGGGTGCGTTTAAAAACATACAAGTTCACATACACATTACACCCCAACAATCTGTAGATCACACAAAGAGGTGTTCCGTGCGGGAATCGAACCCGCGACACGTTGCGCGGCAGTCAGTTGCCCAACCACCGCACCAACCATGCAGTCTTTGGTTTTGGTATTGGTTTCGTATATCAATGCAATTATTACAATTTATGGAAAATTTAAAATCGCTGTATACATAATAATTTTTCTAATCATATTTGTTTTGTTGGTTACAACAGGTAGGTACTACATATGCATTAATAATATTATGTTATTGATAGTTATGGGATTTATCATTATGGCCGTTTTCACCAATCACCCCCAGTCCTTCTCTATGGAGAGGGAGCACAAAAACTAGGTGTCACTCGTAGCATAGCATAGTACTAACATTTTGGTTGTCCTATAGTAGAAGGTAAAAAAGGGTTAGTTTTTGTGCCTGTTCCATACACATAGGTGTATGGACCATGTTGGTGACAATGGGTCTTTTACAGACATCCTTGTTTTCGATTGAATTTTGGTATCTTCCAACAATCATTAAAAAGAGATATTTTAAAACATGAAATATAAAGTCATGCTGTTGTCTCATGTTGGTACCTTATCTTATATGCAAAATCTATAGACTATTTTTATATTAGAGAATCTGGAGAATCAACAGGAATACATTAGTATAAATATTATTAAAGATCACACATACCTTCTTTAGCTTCTAGCATCATGCACCTGGCCACAAGTTTAAGGAAAAAGCCATTCTCAAACGACATCAAGTAAACCTTATTATATATTCAAGGTAGGGTTTAACAATTCATTTGTTTGTTTTGTCGCAGTGTCATGCGTGGTGAACTTCGCGTATGACGCGTCAGAGCCTGATGAGCTGACAGTAAGGCCTGGTGACGTTATCCGCGATGTCGAGCGGTTACCCGGTGGTTGGTGGAGAGGAGAGCTGAGAGGTCGCCGCGGAATGTTCCCTGATAATTTTGTGTCAATCCTCGAACATGCTAACGTAAGGTAAGCATTATAGCCGTATATGGTATATACATACCTAAATGGTTGAGTAAAATAGGAATTAACTAAATCATTGTACGGAAGTTACAATGGCATACTGCATGTACACAAATCATCGAGAAACGTTATAAAAATAGCGTCTTGAAGCAGTATAAAAAAGGACGTCATAAAATTATTTAGCTTGCTAAAACCACCTGAACCAGAAATTTCACGTTTGGCATACATCTGATAAACTAGGGTCACCGTTAACTTATTAAATAAAAAAAGTAGTTCAAATGTTTCTACTGTTTACATGAAATGTAATAGAGTTAGTATATCGCGTGTTGTCAGACAATCGGTAACTATATTATGTTACACGATAAAATGGTTTCGCGTTCCACCATCATAATATAATATCGAATACGCAAATAACTTGTTTTTTTTTATCGAAAACAGTAGCTATTTGATTGATAGGTTTTAGCTGTAGAATATTGAGATATTCGATGTTATAGTCATTTATAGTTAAATACGATTAAAATCAATATTTAATGGATTTAATTTTATAAATACCTATCATTATTTAAATATTAGATTAGCTGCTAGTTTAGAAATCCCCAAGTTTTGAATAAATCCGTCGAAAAGCAATATTCTTTACGATTTTGTGCCTAATAGGCTATTTATTATGTTGATAAAAGAGATTTTGGATCTCGTTAAAAATACATGTGATGAACAGCATTAGCTGTTAACTGATATTTTCTTTCTATTAAGAAAGAAAATATCAGTCTTATAGTCCAGGAGCCGTGGAGAACGTAAAAGGTTACCGGGGCTCCGGCTCGAAGTGCTCCTAGTCAGTAAGAGTGTACACTCTCTCCCGCCACGTCCAGGCGGGAAAAGTCATTCTATGATTTTTCCCTTTTAAAAAAAATCTTATAGTCCAATAATAATACAACCGATTAAAAAAGGACTATGAAAGACAATAAAGATGGACTATTTACCCACGTAATGTGCCAACTAGAGCAAACAAACACAATGTGCATGTCAAAGTTCAATAGCAACTGTAAAGATTGATGCTAAGGTCACCAGTGTACAGTTAGCTTATTTCGAGTCCGTCCGGTATCCTGCACCGTCTAAGCGCATAGTTCATAAGAAACTGGTTTGTAAGCCAATATAAAATTACCATGTGTGGCTGATGTCTAGTTCACTGACACAAATACATATTTGTATTATTTTAATTGTTATATGGGCTTGTTTCGATTTCATTGTTAAACTATGATTATTATGTAGATTTGGGTATATCTTGACCTTTTTGTTGCCCCTCGGCGTGATTTCATTCGTTTTCTTGTTCTACTAATACTCGAACCTGGCTTCACCGCATGTTTTTATGAAAATTTTCCCACAAAAAATATCCTGCTAAATCCTGGTATGTAATATAAGTCTTTAGCGTGACTTTATTAGGGTATTTTTTTTAGTAATATATTAAACTACACATTTCTAAAAAAATCTAGATATAACACTTAAATCTTGTCACCTGTTGTCCCGTTTATCGAACTATAGATCTCGAAGTCTTCAACTATTCTGATCAAATGGGACCATTGAGCCGAATGGTGCTTTATTTTTTTTATGGAATACGAGGCAAACGAGTTTAAGGTACTTTATGGTACTGAAAATAAAAAAAAACCCTACAATTTTTTTTAATGACATGTTTCCATACATTTTGTTCGTCGGTAATTATACACCGTTGAACGGTAGAGACGTGGCATTTGAAACAGAATAATAAATCACTTTAACGCTCAGTAATCAATTGTGTATAAAAACTTAATACTCGTATTGTTGACAAAGACATTTTCTGTGCTGAGTTACACACAAAGTTATACCGTTTTAGTCATACACTTGCTAACACAATCAGTGATGTCATTCTCTTAGGAATGATTATGTTACAAAGTGTTCGGTTTGCAGTATGGTTTCAAAGCTTCGGAGAGGTACCCATTATAACTCAAGCTGTAATTTAGTTGATATTTTTAATAACGGACGACATCCGGCTGTCGGACTCTTCCAGCGAAAGTCGTTCCACCATCGCGGCCGTTTATTGTACAATTATTTAATATGCTATTAAATGATATTTTCGATTAGTAGAAAAATAATGACTGTGCGTACTATCTAATCAGCTCAGATAACGCGATAAGAAGCTCGGTCCGCTAGTCAGTGTTTGTTGTGTGGCCCTTAGTGATATATTTTTGTATGTCTTGAGGTTTTTTTTGTTAATACCAACAAAATATTAACACTACTGCTAGTAATAAGAAGAAAATAAGAAGGTTGGTGATTCAGACAGGCGTTTATTTTCGTGCCACATACGTCTAAATTCTAACAACTGGAAAAGTTGGTGTCCGTAGTATCAGGTGTGTGAATAATGCAGGGAATACCTAATTAGTGTTGATAAACTTAGTATTGCCAGAATAGAAATAGCATGTGTGCAAACTATCTTATAGGTATTTACTTATGAATAATAATATATAGATATACAAGATATCCGAAATAATTGCGTATTTTGGGAACAGTAAATAATGATTTCAATAGTAATTTCATTTCTTAATTTTTGATGAATAAATACAGCATAAACACTGTTGTGCAAAAACGATCTGAACGGTTTACATCATTCTGTCAAGATCTAAAGAAATTTGCCCTCGTTTCTACGACATCTCTGTTGTCTGAGTGAAATATCAAATCAAAGAAATCGATCTAGTTGATCAATTACAAAAATTAACATATCAAACTGGATTCTTTTGAGCTTCTGTTGAATGCCGTCAATTTCACATGTTCAGTGAACGCACTACTTTTTAGCACGCAAGCGTAAACTGCTGTCGGCAAGTTGTAAACTGTTTTTATTATTTTGTAGTCTTAATAAGTAATGTACAGAGAGCACATGTAGTTTCAATCTGTCAGTTTTCATCGATAGATTTTCGACTCTATAATAAAGGGATAGAGTTGGAAATGTATTAAATATTGCTAGAAGTTTGATGTGCTGCCGTTTCATACTGGTAAGTATATGGTCACGTTTGTTCAATACAGGCCGACGAGGGTGCAGGGCCAATGTCGAGCGGTGTTCAGCTATCAGCCAGCGAACCCGGATGAACTGCCTCTGTGTGTCGGTGACGTCCTCGAAGTCCTTGGAGAGGTAACGTTACTTGTTTCACATATAAACATGACATTTTGAACTATAAAAAGTAGCATATAAGGTCAATATTGAAATGTCCAGGCATTACAAGAATATTATATTGACATCTCGTCTGATTGGCGTACGCGCCTACGCCTGCAAAGTGTAACAAGTTAGATTCTTGCACATGGCATTCATTCCTGGTGTTACCCTTAAATTATTGATTCCGGTTTGGACGTGGTGTGTTTGGAAACATATTCATGTCATAGAAAAAAATTCTACTATGGGACAAAATTTACATTAGCAGAAAAAAATAAGTACTCTACCTACTGTCGACGCAAACATGGAAATTATCGCTTCTTTAGGTACCTGTCAATGTCGTGAAATCACAATAAAACCTACAATGCATATTAGTATATCAATAAAACAATAATGACTCACACTCGAAACCGTAATCGTTTTCTAATTTGTAGATATAATTTCAATAAAGCTGTTTTAAATTAGTCTCTTTTTGGTATCGCCACTGAATAGTCAGTGACCAAAATATGTAAAAAAAGAAATCGGAGTGTTTTTTTTTAGAAATTGCTTTTCTATTAGTGATGCAGAAGTTTGCAGTGAAATTTTTGTATTATAAATGTCAACACAACGGTTTTTTCGAAATTTTTTAGTTGGTTATCGTGTGATAAGAAGAGTGAAGGACGAAACAGTTCCTTTATCCTTTATAATCTTAATTACTGGCGATATGATTGGTGATTAATTTCGCAAGTGTTGGGTTGTTTGTTTATAAGTGTTATCGTGTAGGTAGAGGAGGGTTGGTGGCAAGGACGTCGGCAAGGCCGAGTGGGAGTGTTTCCCTCAAACTTCGTCGTGATGCTGGACCCACGAGATCCTCCGCAGCCCGCGCCACCCTTCGAACCAGCGCCGGCACTGCCACCAAAGCCTGGTAAGTTCAGTTATTGAAAAGTAATACAAACGCAGTCTCAATCGACGTGTGCTAGAATCAGGTTATTAGGCGGTCTGCTATATTTACCTGTTACAAATAACTTTTTCACTGCAATTTCCTGATGTCAACAAGGAAACCACAGATCCCTATGTAGGTTATTGGAATGCACTGTTATGTATTTAAACCACAAACATAATACCTATGTGTTTTCCCAAGGGATTAATAATAATTAATGTATCCATTGTTGAAAGTACCGAGGCATTTTATTGGGTATCGCATCTTTAAAATGTAATGGGCCCTAACAATGAAAAAATATTGTAATAGTTTGATGGGCAAACGTGCATTGGAACTATTTTATTCACATGTATGTATCTAATGGCGTAATGTAAAGTGCATTACCACAATATGTAACAAATTCTAATGCATTAAATGCCAATAAGAATGCACGGTTCACATCGTTTATGGTCTATAACTAGTTAATATTTTTCTCATTGAAGTCTGAGTCATTCATAAGCGTTATATTATTATACAAAGATCGTTCGTCATCCAGTCTTAAGGCCGGGGCAGACGAGAGAATATTAACGGGGCACTTTTTTACTTTTTTATTGATATTTATAGACCTTATAAGTAAATTAAATATTAAATAACACAAGTGGACTTGCCTGCTCAAATTACTAACCCATCTCAATAAAAAGATTTATAAATTTCAGCCTTGGGTGACCTATAAGGTACCTAATTGAGTCCAATACTTAGTGAATATGTTTCGTAATCCTGATTTGAATTTTGTCCTTACCATGTAAAAACGTGTCGTCTGCACAGGCCTTTACTGATATATTGTTGGTATTAAGTTAATTGAAGTGATGATATCGTGTAGGGGGCTCACGGCTTATCATTTTGTGACTGCATCTTCCGCCGACGATTTGTTCAGGATGTTATTAAATTTGCGTGCGAATATCAAGTACTTATGTGTAATATTGTATTATTGAAATAATATTGCTTTGTTAGTCCTTGTTGTTGGGTAAAGTATACAAGAGAGAGATAGACGTATGTATGTGTGTTATTAAATTACTTATTAACATTCTATGTAAAACAACTCGTTACTTCACAATGCACCACTGTTTTTAAACTTTACTTTGTTTTCGACAAAACCCTTATTATTGTCAGTTTTAATCGCTGATAACATTAGTAAAAACGGAGACAAAGCCCTCTAGAATAAAATTAATTGTACATATGGGGTATATGAATAGAGCTTATCGGATAGTATCAGTGGCCCTTAATAACTTTGTGTATGTGTATTCAGGGGCTGAATTAATATTTATTACCTAATTTAATTAAAATTAATTATTATATAGACAAAAGAGTTCTCTGAAAGGAAAAGGTTCTTAGACAAATCTAGCATTTCGTATATGATTAATAGAGTTATCTTCAAACATTGTAATCACATCGACGTTTAGTAGGTCATCTTTTCAATTAAGCGATCATCGTCAATCTTACCACATACAATAATCACCCTTATTTGTACACAGTGAAGGAGCTATGTCGCGTGTTGTTCCCGTACACTGCGGTGAACGAGGATGAGCTGACATTGTCTGAGGGTGACATTGTGACGATCCTGTCGAAGGAGGCGCCCGACCGTGGCTGGTGGCGCGGGGAACTAAATGGTCGCGTTGGTCTATTCCCTGATAACTTCGTTCAAGCTTTGCCCCCGCAAGGTAAGATAGATCTTATTTATATATATATATACAATTGACTTTATGACTTTGATTAATGAAACAGTCTTCTTGGTAGTGCAACTTCTGCACTATGGTCAACTGTTAGAATTGAGATAGATAAGAGTGCTTTTATCCTCGTGAGTTTGTCCAGGAGTACCAAATGAAGGTAGGCCTTTACCGGAGCGTCGTCTTTTACCATTTTGAAGATAGTACACGTTTTTTATCAAATTTATTAATTCAGTGTCTGGGTCACACAAAGACCATGCCAGATATTACACTTGTGTCTTAAGAATTTCTAGGAGTCGTATTTGTCAAGTCGATCTGAGATCGGAATTGTTATTGTTTTTGTGTAAACTAGTTGGTACCCCATATCAGTTTCCTGAAAAAAAATAGGGACAGTATACTCATATACCGCATACACGATCCTTATCCTCATTTGTTCAACTCTTCTAATACGTCTTTACAGACTTCCCCATTCATGTTACTCCAGTACTCTTTTATCCTATGTAAATGGGTCAACTACTCTTTTGTTCATCATAAACTGTATCATTATAAAAGCAATTTGTTTCAAATACCAGCATATTTTGCTAGTTTCTCTGGTCTTCGACTTGATGTAATACATTTCTTCATATTCGAGGTCATTTAATGCAACTCTCGATTGAGATCTGATCGTGTTCATCTATTATTGATTACGTGTATTTCGACTTAGAAGTGTTGAGAGATGTAGCTTTAGTTTATACATGTACCCAATATGTAGGTAGTAAAGAAAATGCTATCTTATTATAATGAAAAGCCTTATTGAAGAGCTTTTCCCGCCCCGCGAAATAAAACAAGCCTACAATGTTTCCTTAATGAACTAATAACTTACCGATTTTTTTCTACTTTGTCCAGTTGTTTTGTCTGTTATATAATCCTGTGTGTAATTAGTCGAGGCTGTAGTCTAACTGACTACATGCCTATGCGAAACGTCAAGTATTTGTATCAAAGAATCAAATTCATTCATCCTTATAAATTATCAAGTTTATAACATTACTAGCTTTTACCCGCGGCTATCGGCGGCTAAAAGTAGTCTATGTGACATATACCAATACACACAGCGCCATCTATACCAATACTTTTGTTTTCCCTCGGGAATATCAAATTTTTCCAGGTAAAAAAGTACCCTATTATTTAATCCGGACTTTTAACTTTACGTCTGCAAAAATTCAAAGCAATCGGTTTAGTAGTTACGGCGTGAAAGTGGAGCAAACAAACAAACAAACAAACTCACTTTCCGATTTATAATATTAGTAAGGATCTAGTAGAATTCTGTCTTTAATACGCGAACTGTTGGATATTTAAAAAAAAACTATAAAGCAAATTCCGTTTAGTGATTTATGGATTTTATCTGCTCTTGATTTTTTCCGCTCCTAGTACAATAGGAACAACAGTTACACAAATGGTCGGTTACGTCATTCGTATACGTCTTGAATACGAATATGCGCATTACTACCATGGCATATTGTCCATCTTAGTTGCTATAGGTATATGTTAAACTAATACGGTCGCTTAGTTTTATGGTGGAGAGATTCTTGTGGAATGCGGGCAATTTATTATTTCAGTATTTGTTCTGGGATTCTTGTCTGTTATCTTGCCATTGCTTCTCCAATCTTTTCCTTTCCAGTTAACGAAATATTAAACACGACTGCCAAGCAAGATCAAGAGGTCTTGTATTCAATTTTCGTTACGGATAGTGTTATGACTCGAATTCAATCAGAGGCATGAAGTTAATAGTTTATATTATATGTAATTAATGAGTAGATATTAATAATTATTCAAATATCTATAGTTCTGTTCCAATTTATATGTTGTTAACTAGTTGTAATGTAGATCATTAGTATGACATCAGCAGTATAATTATTTATAGCGGTATTTTGTACAATGGCAATAAATAGTATCAATCGACGTTGATATTGATCTAATCAAAAATCTTACATATTTTTGTGATAAGTCTGTTATGAGAAGATTTTAAGTAAAAGGATATTTAATGTGTTTTCTGTTTATACATTGGTCCATTGATCACAATCGAGACTATCTAACAAAGATTTCTAGGTTCGCCAACATTTTTTATCTAATGATATCTAGGCTTATAGGGCCAATGCCCGGGGCATCTAGGCTTATAGGTTGCCGGGACTCCGGCCCGAAGCAGGATTATTAACGGCGTGGTTTTTAGTCAGTAATAGTCTAACACTCCCTCTCGCTTCACATAATGCAAGAGGGGTTATTGGATGATCCCCTCCCCCCTCCAAAAAGAGTCAGATATATACATAGAATGTTGAAATAAAAGTCGTGTTGCTATATTATATTTTCTTTAATAATGAAGTTCTCAAGGTAATCCAGAAGCTTGTGAGATTGATCTAAGTATTCTAAGTAAAGGTTTGCTTACCGCACCTTGTTAGGTGACGTAACATTAGGAGCATAAGTCATAACTTTATGACTAAGTAGTATCTTCCTTTTCAACATAGTTTAATTAATTAATTGGTCAGTTATTGGTTCGGTGTTTTATTGTTAGTTCATACGTAGTAGTGGTTCGAGTCACTAGACTGGAAATCTTGTTTGATATCAACGCTTTTGCGCTGTTAACTTGCTAGCTTATTTTAACTTTTACTGAAAGATTGCCTCGTTGGCAAGGGGTCTCGGGTTCGATTCCCGGGTCGAGCGAAGTATTACTGGGTTTGGAATTGTGCCCGGTATATGGCAATAGGCGCACCCCTATTACATGGGACTCATAACATTAATAGTAAAAAGTGGGTGTTACATTGTACAGTGGCAGAATGTGCACCTCTGCTTACCCCTTCGGGGATAAAAGGCGTGATGTTATGTTATGTTTATATGACACCACATAAACTAACTCAATTTGTAAGAACAGGTTGACAACAACTCATTTACAATTTAAACAAAATGTTATCTATAGTAACAAATTATTTACAAAGCATTTCTTGAGTCCATTGTACGATATTTTTTAGTTGTCAACATATACAACATATACCGAGAAGCTCAAATCAATTAAGTGATGACATTGCGTTGTGTTGTGACACTCGTAAACAGATTGCACTTTATCGCCATTTCAATTAAATGGAGCCCGTTTCTTAAATACGTCAATCTTCCTGTGTTACACAATTGAATTAAGCTTGGCGTAGTTTTAAATTAATTTTGACGCATTCTTAAGCAAATCGTTCAATATGATTTGAACTTTTGACCATTATAATAAGAATGTATTTTCTTATCTTCAAAATCTAATATTTACCCTTTCAGAATGAGTATTTAAATAATTTTGGCTCTGTAGAGTATATGGGTATTAAAACAACCTTTTGTGTGTTTAATGTACTCTAAATATTATGTACTATTATTTCTAGTTTATGTAAATACTACATTATAAATTATACTTAATAATACATAACTTCAGACCCGAACAAATCGAATCAGTAGCCAAACGTTTCAAAACGATTATAACTATTCTTTATTTTTTTTAATCGATTCAGTGACAAATAACTGAGATGACCACAACACACCTTGAGTTTATTTATAGTGTGTTGTTACTCCATCTTCTAAATGACTTATGATATGTGATAATGTTAAACGTAAAACTCGTTTTGCAATCGTGATCATTCAATAAGTGATGTCAGGTTCATAAGGATCTTTATCTTTTAAATATCAACACGTAGAAATAAGTAAAAAGTGCTCAAAATACTGTTAAGTTTTCTAGGTTAGGTACTATTATAGTTGTAGATATAATTGTGAAGATATGACATATAAAATGTACGTTGCATTGTGCGAGAAAGTCGGGACTCGGGACGGAAAATCTCAAGGGAAATTCAAGTGACGTGATGCTCTATTTTGACGCAGTGAAATATGGAAGTATAAATATCAGGATACAAGTGAGTTTAAACTGAAAAAATAACAACACGTCTTTTATCCTCGAAGGGGTAGGCAGAGGTGCACATTACGGTACTTAATGCCACTGTACAATGTAAAACCCACTTTTCACTATTTATGTAATGAGCCCCATGTAGTAGTGTGTGAGCCTATATATACCGGGCACATTTCCGTGCTACTACTGAGAAAATAAATAATGCTACATATAAATCTGTGTGATCTAAATTGACTTTCTAATGAACACTAGTACCGATATTGTAAGATTTTGTCTATTATGTAGTCTGTAATATATTCCAAGGTTAGTCCGGTAACAAGTAACATTGTATATGTATGTTAGCATAATCCTAGGTGACGTAAACTGTGTAACACTGGCCGAATGCAATCGGTTGCAAGACACGCGATATTACTAATTTATGCGTATCGAAACTAGCGTGCAACAACTGATATATGCAGATGAAAAAACACTACTGGTCTATTTTTCTTACTAAATTCTTATTTGAGTTCATGGCTAATAGAAATAACCTTTAATATTGCCGATTGACCCGCTTGATTTGTGTAATTGACATATTGATTTATTTAATAAATAAATTCTAAAGGACACGTGATAAACATCACTCATTATACTATTTTGTTCAGTTTTCTTTTATATAATTACAGTTCTGATTAAAAGGTATGCTTTGTTCGGCATATATGTATTTGACAAGATAACAGATAGCTAATGTGTAACCAACCTTGAAGTCCTCAACATTTTGGACATATATAGTTATTAACTGATGTCCATTAGTTTGCGACTGTCGTATAAACAATAACAGTAGATAAGTAGTACGGTCGAGTCGTGAGCTCACGCACAGCCTGTTGGTAAACAGTCCGCCCACTCTAGTCTTCGATGTTCTGCTATTGACATTTCTCATGAAGGTTGCGCTACGAACCGAGTCGTGATTTTGCGTAACTTGCACGCTGTCTCGACTCTTGTCTTTTTATAACTAGTTGCCTCACTATCCGCGTTGGTGGAACACCAATGTTGCGTTGAACGTTGTTCACTAATTTCCTCGATATTCAGATTCTAAAATGGTTTTTGAAAGTGAGTCGTATTTGTTCAAAGTTTTATTCGTATGTGGAACTTGATAATGTTTGTGTGTTTTGTGCGAATTTTTTGTTGTTGATACATTTCTTTGTGTTCTGTGTTTTCTGGTTTATGTAAATTAATGTAGTTATTTTTAATTGGATAATTATTAAAATAATTATGTTGCATATTAGAAAGATGTTTTCGAGTGAACAAAATTTGTTTTCCAAAGCGTGTAAGTGTAAAAATATTTGTTTTATGGGTGCTATGGGATACGGTATACTATTATTAATTGAACAGTATGAACTTTTTAGTTTTAAGTGCTAGACAATCAAATCGAACGATTAAAAAACTGCAACAAATTGAAGGCCAGATATTAACTTGTGATAAACGATATTTCTTTAAGTGACAGATAAATAATATTGCCTATTATTCTTTACAGTATCTACAGAATTAGAAGAGAAGAAGCCGGAGCGACCGCCGGCAAAAACTACGAACTCTATCTACCCAATATTGTCTATGAAACATAGTGAAAAGACGGCCTCAGTCAAGGAACATACGTCGTATAAAATAAGGTATGTTACTTAAACGACCAAAGAGTTCTTATCTATGTGAGATTAGAATTATTGCCGGTGACCTAGTAACATTTTGTTAGTAAATGGATGGTCCATTATTTAAAAAATTATACAAAGGGAAATAAAACTGAATTATAATGATCTAGTTAATCATGGAGAGAATATAAATACTTTTCTGAACTACCTTAGGATAATAACAAAAAGTCATGTATTTTTAAATTGCATACTCAATACTCATATTACTCGTATCCACAAATATACTCGTAGGTAAAAGGTTGTTCTTAAAATCTGGTTTTTCTGTATATTCTTCTTGATGAAATAAGATAAAAAATTGAAATTGTATGTAACTCTGATATTACACGACATCACACTAGAAAACATTTTAAACAAAATAAGTGTATGGATAATCCATGCCAAAAATAATCCAGCAAATACGCTTATTTATTTAACTGCTAAATAAAGTAATGAGAATCTGTATTTTGGTACCCCATCACCATCCGTAGTCGATAAGTGAGCATCCGTCGCTAACCAAAAACACAGTGATCTCCGAATTATATTATAATAAAAACGTGTTTTACGTAAATGATAAAGTGAAAAAAAAACTCGACCAATTCTGTTTTCCATAAAATCATTAAATGTGGGCCGAGGAGTAACGGGTTTGTTAATTCTTTTAAGGAATTCATCGTAAAACATGTTTATTTCGGTGTTTTTATTATGTATGATGTTTCTTATTGACTTGCACCAGGTTTGTTTTTTGTTGTTCATTTTTTTTATACCGTCATGGCTTTTATCCTCGCGGTTGGTAGAGGCACACATTATGGCGCGTAATGCCACTACAATGTGTACCCACTTTTACTAAGTTATTTTATGAGTAACTGGAAGCAAGCCTTTTGCCATAGGTCAGGTACAATTCTAGACTCAGTGCTATAATCAGTAGTACTGATTATTATATTCGGAAAACCGAAATCTTGATAGTTCGCCCGACCGGAGAGTTGTATGTTGTATGTTGTATGGGAATAGACTCAACCTGTAGATGAAGTAGGTGGTATATCAAATGTGTACCTCTTCGTATTATTTTCCCCTAAGGAGTAAATCTGTGGTGTTATATTATATTTTTATGTGATTATATCAGGACGCCGTCTGAATTTTTGTTTAGATATCGCATTAGATATTTCTTCCCTCCATTAGATACTCAAAATATTAACATAGCTGGTTAAATGTGAGTTTCACGAATACCCATCCATTTTAGCCACAAATCACGTGAATAGGTAAATTATTTTAAACATATTTTTCACATTTCAGTTCGCACAAAGAGAACACGATAAGTAAGGAGTCTAGTACACAGAGTACAATCACGCACACGAATAAAACTGAGTCGGAAAAGATTATACACAGTGAGACGGTCAGCGAGGGAACGTTAGATCAGGTGAATATTGCTTCTTGTATAATTATTATCCTTTATTTCTGATATCTGTGCCTCATTCTACAGTTTACTACATAATGATAATTGTGGTTTTGACGTATCAAAATAAGTTGTAGAGTTAAACATTATAACGAAAGTTATCGACATGAATAACATCCCTAATTAATTTAAGTTTGTGCGGTGTCAGGGCAACTGGCTGCCGCTCAGCGTGTCGCGGGTTCGATTCCCGCACGGACCAACTCTTTGTGTGATCCACAAATTGTTGTTTCGGGTCTGGGTATGATGTGTATGTGAACTTGTATGTTTGTAAACGCACCCACGACACAGGAGATAATACTAGAGTGGGGCTAAGTTTTATTAAAAAAAAAAACAAAAAACCTAGTTTACAGAAAAAAACACGTCATCTTTCACATATCCGTTCAAATTGTAATAATAAGGCACAATGATGTTATTGTCTGATTTTTGTTATCATTATAAATGTAGTGTATTGTCTTTTGTTCCTTCATATTGTCGATATAAAAGTAATAGTAAGTTTGAGCAATTATTATTCTTTGAACTAATAAAAGTCTCGAGGTTTATATCTGAAAAAAAATGTGTGATAAGTTCTAAATAAATAAATAATATTTATATTTCAGGTGAAGAAACCTCCAGTGCCATTGAAGAAAAGTCCCACGCCCACGTCAGGGGTAGGCAGTCTGTTCAGTGGACTTAAAAATAAAATGTTATCATCGACTGATAAGTAAGTGCTACAATCTATATTACTGTACTAATACACTTTGTAAAACAAAAATGGTTTGTATTTTTTTTTCACAATTCTGCGGAATTCATCATTTCAGTTCAACCTAAGCCTAAGGGCCTATATGCAGTAAGGCGTGGCATTTGTTTCCAATCAAAAATTGCAGTTACGTACATATTTTGCAGTTAAGAGGTTTTCTCTATAAACCATTGCATTGCATATATGTTGGTAAACGCACCCACAAAAATAATTACATACATACATACATAACTTCACCCTTGTCTCCCATGGGGGTAGGCAGAGACTAAGGAACACCAATTACTACGATTCTTACATACCTCTTTCGCTTCATTAACAGTCATCAATCTTTTCATACATAATTTAAATCAATATATTCTTTTTTAATTATAAAACTATATATTTTAGAGAGAAGTCCTCATCAACGACAGTGTCGAGTAGTGGCAGTAGTAGCGGCGGCGAGTGGGACCGACCGGACGGCGCCGCGCCCAGCAAGACTGTCGCCAACAATAATAACACGAACACTTTCGACCACATCGAACGGAACTCTCTACTCAACGACCCACGAGCTGGCAGGTGAGATATCCTAATTTTATAGATAGACTAGCGGACCCGACAGACGTTGTCCTGCAAATAATAATAGGTATAGATAAATAACCTAGATACCAACTGCAGCGTCATCTGCCGGGCTGATTTGTGAATCTAAACCATTCCCAGATCCCTTGAACACACAAAAAATTTCATCAAAATCGGTCCAGTCGTTTGAGAGAAGTTCAGTGACATACACACTCACTGAAGAATTATATATATAAAGATAGCCAAATATTAACTTAATTGTACGTCAAGTAAGTAATTGTACAAATTAAAAGTAAAGGGCGGCCTTATCGTTAAGAACGATATTTACCAGGCAACCTCTTATAAACTTTTTTTATGGGATATATCGGCAAATGAGTAGACCCATCACCTGATGGTAAGCGATCGCCCACGAACACTCGCAACACCAGAGTTGCAAGCGTGTTGCCAGCTTTTTGGGAATTAGGGATTTGAGAATTGGGTATTTAGGGAGATTAGGGAGGGAGGAATTGGGTCTCCGGTAACTTCATCCACGCGGCGAAACAACATACTTTTCAAATGTCGATGTGCAGTATTCATCGCCGGGTTTTGTATGTATTTGTATCGGTAAAAATATGAAGTTTAATCTAATAGTGATGTACTTATTAATGTATCTGTAATTACAGAGTAAAAGCACCTCGACGCAGGCCGCCTAGTCAAGCACTCCGTGAAGATACGCCATTACAATTAGGATTAAGCAATGGACACGAAGGTAAGCATACAAAATGTAATTTCAACAATATTACATAAAATAAGCAAACAAAATTAAAGTAGGGCCAAATTAAAAGTACCCTTAACCGACGAGCATGCATGAAAAGATTGATGATTATTGATGAAGCGAAAGATGTATGTAGGAATCGTAGTAATTGGCGTTCCATGGTTTCTGCCTACCCCCATGGGAGGTCGCGGAGAACCTAACGGGTAACCGGGGCTCCGGCTCGACGTGCAGGAGAAGGAACGGGGTGGTTTTTAGTCAGTAAGAGTCTGACACTCCCTTCCGCCTCACCCAGGCGGGAGCAGTCACTCGATGATTTTCCCCCCTTAAAAAAAAATAAATAAAAAAAACCCCCATGGGAGACAGGCGTGAAGTTATGTATGTATGTATAAGCAAACAAGCTATGTTTTACCACAAACGCTAACAACAACAGTCGTTATTAACAAATTAACATTATCGTTTAGAAGTCCACGATAAATCAATGCAACCCGGCATGATATACTAACATTTAACCTATACTTGCCACCCAACATGATTAGCTTGTGGTTGTTTATGTCTTATGAATGGAATTCTGCTTGGCCTAGATTCTAGATAATAAACTAGTGCTAGTGACCTATAATTATTATTACTTATATGCTTTACTGCACATAAGTTTCTCTTTAGCCGTCGCTCATTTTGTTACTGAGTTTGATTTGATTTTTTTATTGCCACGTATAGGGACGTCTAAAAATCTCAGTAGTAGCACGGAGTCTGGAAACGTGCTCGGTATATGGCAATAGGCTCACCCCCTATTACATGGGACTCATAACATAAATAGTGAAAAGTGGGTGTAACTGAAACTTGAACTAGGCTGTTGCTCTTGCGACAAATCGACTAACGAAGCAAGCAAGTAATTGGATAATGTTCCTAGATATTATTTTTCCATTTGTATTAATTAGTTGTCCATTCCTCTTATTATAAAGAAATAAATAATAAAATAATAGATATGACACTGTGTTCACGGAATTATTTTTTTCAACTAGCAAAGGCATTAAAACAGATTGTACACATATGTACACGTGTGCATTGTTTTTGCTATCAAACATAATGCTCAAACAACGTTACGCTTCACTCCGCTTCAATAGCCGTTACATTTGATTGTCTGCCGCCCTTGGCCTTGCTAACACAATACACTCAATATTACGGAAGATTACAAGACACAATATCTAATTTGACTTGAAACTACTAAATGTTACTGTTTGAATGATCTTCTCGTTTCTTGGTAGTACTTAATTATATCTATAAGCAGGTAATAAATGTTTGACAGAATGATGTACGAAATTGGGCCATGTCATAATAATGTATCGAAGTTAACTAATTTACTGTAATATTGAGTAAGAAACTAATTCGATTCCCAAACCAAATGTGGCGTGGTTCAAAAAGCTAAAATTTTCACGTAGGAGCGCCATGCTTCGGCATTGTGTGTATGGTACAAATGTTGGCGCCATGTGTCGGCACGTATGGGCCAGCTCGATCGGAGTATTGCCTCACAGAAAACCAGCGTGAAACAACGCTTGCATTTTGTTTCGCTGTGTGAGTGAAGATATTAGAGGGCCAATTCTCCTCCCATTTCCAAATCCCTATTATCTGGTATTCTATAAAAATAATACAATAAAAATCTTAACCAAAATACAATTAGTTCCATTAGACAAGCCACCGGAAAAAGCGGTGCGAACAGAACAACCAGAGTCTGCGGAAGAGATCAAACCTCGTACCCGTGAGTGGGAGAAACATAAGGCGCCTTGGATGGAGGAACTTAAGCTGAACCAAGCGAAAAAGACCAGCTTCATAGCTGATGGCAAGTCGAGGCTCTCAGGACCTGAACTAGGGGCCAGTAAAGCCGCTAGTGGAAGTACAGACAGGTGAGCCTTTACCAAGTTTATTCATTAGTAACATTTTAGTCAGAGTTGGAAACTATCGCCCGAATATTGAAAAGTACTCAGTTTTAAGTTGTACTTAAATATCGTGCCATCTCTGTCATTTTGCAAAGAATTTATTGAGACAGAACTATACGGAGCCGCGGAAGGCCTAATGGGTTGCCGGGGCTCCGGCTCGAAGAGCAGGAGTATGGATGGGGTGGTTTTTAGTCAGCAAAAGTCTGACACTCCCTCTCGCCTAACCCAAAGCGGGAGAAGTAATTTGATTTGATTATTACCATTAACTTATAGAGGTTCGCTACTGGGAATTAGTCAATAGTGACTAAGTACTACTGGGCATTAGTAATGTGTCCCTATTACTATATTAAAGTTGTCTTAACCATTATTGTTGCTAAGTTACATACCTGTGCCTTTAACCAAATGCCACTTTAGCGCTTGTCTACAGAGAGAGTAGAAATCAAAATGTATGGGGATTACACTGACAAGTGTCAAAATTTACGTCAGTTCCATATAATTTGGTTTTCTATTCTACATGTAGACAAGCGTTAAATGGCATTTGGCTACAGCTGAGGTCTGTATATGTCTCTATTGAGTAAATAAGTTGAGAATGATACAAATGCATTACATATGTCTTGTCTATGCGATCAATGAATTAATTCTGATATTGTATCGTTTTAGAATCCTGGACTGTGGTCTAGAAGAAAAGAGATCAACTCATTCTATGGAAATGTCTAAAAGCACGTCGTCGATCAGCAGTCGAATGTCGGTTATGGAGAGTTTCGAGGAGGTAATGTAACATTAATAATTGTTGTTACTAGCTTTTACTTCACCCGCGTTAATTTATCTGTTCTCCCAACAGTTTATCTAATTCAAATTTTACAAAAGATTGGCCGAGTTGGCAAACGCACTTTCACATTTACATGTTGGGATATTTTTTACGAATGTGTAGTAATATTCTTTCTTAATTGCAGACGAAAGTCCGTCATTCGTTGGATTCTAAGAAGGACGTGACGCCGGCACCTCGCGACGTTGAGTCACATGCCGTCAAACCTATACAGTCACCTACTGCCGCAGGTATTATTATAGTAACTTTCTCTAAGAGGCCAGTAGTGTTAGTTGCTCTTGAGTTAACAGTCATGTTAAATTCTTTGAAATTCACTAAATATTTTTTTTTATATTGAGAACAAAGTGTACTAGTTATAAATAGTTTGACGTTCAAAAGCTTGATATTGTAATGTGTACAGGTCGGACTATAATGTCGATGCTGGACGATATAAAGAAGCCCCCGGCGCCCCCGCCGCCCACGACTGCGCCCCCGCCTGTGCCGAGCCTGCCTCGCGCCGCGTCCCCGCCCGTGCTGGCCGCGCCGGCCGCGCCCGCTGCGCCCCCGCCGGCCGCCAACCCGCCGCCCATACGCTCCGCCGTGGCCACACTGTCGGCCCACATCATCACGGACAAGTCGTCCGTCACAACTAAAACCGAAAAGTCCCCCGTCTCCTCCGACAAACCGCCCGAAGTCACCGCCCTCACCCGACAGACCAGTAAAACGAGCACCATCGAGAGAATAGAAAAGTCTCTCGAGAAAGTACCATCTGCGACCGTAACCGGTGATAATAAACCCACTACAGGAACCCTGGAGAGGCGAATGCAATCTGTCAAGACGGATAAAGTTGAAACCAACGACGCGTTGATTGCGCAGCTCAATGATAGGGTATGTACATATTTGTGGTTATTTGTTTTCAGAATGGCTTTGCTATCGTGATACGAAGTAACAAGTCAAACTTAGTACATCAAATCGGCGCAGTATGTCTTCGTTTTCCTTTCTCATAAATGAGACCTAAAGAAAATTGGTATTTATATTTGTTTATTTCATTTACAGATAACAAATCTGGAGAAGCTCATAGAAGTACAAAACACAGTTTTCAACACGGCCATCGAGGATTTGAAGGCGAAGCTGAGCCAGGAGAGCGAGAAGCGGCAGGCGCTGCAGAGCGAGCTGGAGAAACTGGCGCACTGCGTGACGCAGGTGTAGCGACTACTGCCGCGGACGCGGGACTACTCCTCCTACCTGCACTTCTAGAACCGCCCGCGAGGACGCGACTTCGAGAATACCCAGTCTAGATAGGTATTCCATAATCAAACGTGGTTATGTAATCTATTATTAGTATTATAGACTATAAAATTCGGCCCGGTTTGCCAATTACAAGATTCAGTGATTATTCCGAAATCGCGTTCGTGGTGATATTGCGCAGTGTTTAGTCCCAGTCGTGAAAGACTTCTGCTATTCGTGGAGTGCACTCGATGGTGTCACGGCCTGCGGTGTAAATGGCAGCGTGTTCACTAGGCCGCATTGTCTTCAGATAAATTTATTTTTTGTAAGTCGATACTTTCCAGCTTATACGATATTCAAAATGGTGTACTATATTGTAATGATTTTTTCATTGACTTGAGCGATGCTACGTAGCTCGCTTAGTGATCGAGGTACTTATTTAGTCAGAATTGTTGTTTATTGCTATTTTTTGTAATGGTCACTAATAACTAGCGTATAAGAGTAATTTTATAACGTGTATGTCAAGACTAGAGGAGGGTAACTACTTGTACCTAAATTGTTCAATATTTGTACATTCTTTATCAATGCTAAAGAAGGCTCTATTATATTATTGCCTACATATTGTTGTTTTCACAGTGCATCTTTTTCATGTTATAGAATTATAAGTGAAAATGCGTCATTTACATATAGTTTCTATTTGTTATCTTCAGTAATAAGTGCTATCATCAAGTGAGCGTAGGTTATGGTAGCGTCGTGTACATTGACAAAAAATTGTGCCATTTTATTTGATCGATGCACATGATAACGTATTAACAGAAATCGTATTTTAATGTGTAATACAAAAATAAACTAGTAACATGTGATGCGAGTAGATTGTATGCCTAATATTTGTGATTAACACATTCCATTTTGACTTGTATAGTTATAGTATGTACGTAATATTGATTCGATCTTTTATCGGGCGCACTGTATTAACCAAAGCTTCATTTGGAACGGCATTAACACGATGGAATATGTAGCTATTATGCATATTATATTTATCAAGATCAATATTTTTATGTAACAGTTAATATATTTTTGTACATGTACAGAGATTCTTTACGTTTATTTAGACACCGAGTGTACCTTTTTGTAAGACATATCTCGATACATATTTATTTCAGATATTATTGTAAATCAATTTTGGAAAATGTTGTATTAAACGAGTGATAATTATTTCGTAATATGTAATTATTATTTGTGGAAAATTTAAACCCAGGTTGTGTTTGGCCATCCATTGTATACCTCGTCTTGGCAATTAAATTATTCGAAATAGATGTAACTAAGTAACGATTGAATCATGGCAACTGATTAACATACATTGTTAATTATTAAGTAATTGCTTAGTATTAATCTAGAGATTGTAGTTATAGGCTACTATGTGATAGACGATGCCTAACTAACTTTGTAAAACGTTCCAATGGCTTTAATCATGCACAAATTGAGTCACACAAACATTTTGTAGATGTTTTTTTTTAAATTGACCTTACGAGATTATTCATTGCGGAAGAAAGAAATCGATCCATTTTTTTTAAATTATGTTTTTACATTTGATCGTTATCTAAAGATCATGCAATCTTGATATCTTCGTCTATTATTAGTTCAAGAACACGGCGATGTTAGCGTAACTTTGAAATGAATGCAACGTATTTTAATAAGTAGCTAGAATGATTATAGTCGTTCACACGCAGCTTTGTATATGAAACATGAGATTCGTATTATATTATTTTGTACGGGGTTGTACCTGAGAATTTTATAGACTGCAGATTTATATTAATAATTACGTAATTTTTGTATAATAACTATCGTGAGATATACTAAATTAATTGAAACGTACGAATTGTTCTTCTGGACTGTTCGAGAAAAGCTGTTATAGTTTCATCTCACACGTCGCTCATGAATATGAGTCTCGGTGTGACTCGAAATTAATCGAGCTTTTCTCAAATAGTTCATTTATAATCTGTATATATCAATTAATTACGTAATTAATAATCTGAGGCCTTGGTACCAGTTTGTTTTAGGTTTAAAGTAATCGAACCGAGACTGCGTTCGGTGCTCTGATTGGCCGGCTATAATGAACCAACCAATTAGTGCGTAAAACAAATTCGTACTGAGACCTCAGGGAGTCGGATAGTTGACGTCATACAAAGCGTTTTGAATTTGACGTACGAATATCGACTTTATGCAGAACGACACAATGAGTACTGTTGCATTTTATGTAAATTGCATATTAAAACCTAATTTAAGCAACGCATTCCATGATTTTGATAAACGTGTCATTAAATTAAATTTTGTATTTTTAAATGTATTCAGCTTGTGATTGAAATGAAAAAATGTCTGAGAGATATCGTCATAGAATGTTTTAGCATTTGTTACCGCTATGTGTGGAAATACGAAAGTTCATACGAATTATTGCGGTAAACGAATTATGCATAGCGGTGCCAGATGACATTTAGAATTCAGATATGCCTCGAAGACTGTCTATATTTTGCAAAGCGAAAGTTGACTCTTTTACGTACAATGTCCAAATGTGGAGTAATCAATTTCACATTAACAGCTTGCGTAATACATAATCCCTTGCTTAAAATAACTCACCAAGCTATTTCGTTTATAAGCTGCAGTACATTGAGCCAATTGCCATTGCATTTAATTAATTGTGTAAATAAATATAAATACACTATGACTACTTATTTTTTAAAATGTTGTATATAAAAGCTTGGTGAAAAGTACATAACAATAATATTATAATGGTTTATATGATAAACCCCTAGGTAACATTGTATGATATAGGACAATTTTGGATGTAATTTTAGTACTTAATTTATTTTTATGTATGCTCTACTTCCGACGATGCATTCCTACGATTTAAACAATTCAAAATATTCATATGATTAATAAAATTAAATAATAAACTATGTTTATGGATAAACCTGAAATTCGTATTTTTCTTTTATCATCCTCATGTCCGTAATGTAATTAACTTAATAAATAACACTACTTTATTAATATGATAATTGCACTTGGATTTATTATAATAAAATTATAAAAGCAAGATGGTGAATGTAAAATTTATTATCAATTTTATATTCAAAAAACTTAATTGGGGTCATGATGAAATGACAAAATTGGACACCTGTGAGATCTAGATTACAAATAATAATAAAACCAAAATAATAATTATACCATTTATAACACATTCTTTATTCAAACACAAAAAACCAAAAATAATCAATCACTCAGATATACATATTTACAAACATAACAAAAATACAACACAATTTCCAGTCGTGGAAATTAGTAATTAAAATAATTTTCTATTCATTTTTGTACACACATTCAACTACATAATTCAATTTCCTAGAAAAATCACTCTTAACACGGCGAAGCAATGCACATTTTCCTCCCAAGATGAAAATTAGTGTTGGACACACGAATTCACGTCGCATCACGTATTCAAGCGTATTGTTTTGATAGGAAATTCACCCTTATCGATTTAGGTAATAGGTGTGAATAAAATTGTTCATAATTATTTAAACCATATCCACAACCAACCACATAAACTTTTGTTAGAATGTAGTATAGGAATGTGACTTTTTTACTATAATTCCTTTTACAATTACGCTAAACGATTTTGATTCTTATTGTCTTGACCATAAGTTTGCCACAAGCAATAGATTATGCAAATATTTTTTGTTTTTAATGCCCATACAATAGAACTCAAAATTGTTTAGACAAACTGTAAATAAGGTTTAACTCGTCGAGTACCGGTTTTATAGACACAATTAAAGAACAATAGGTCGCGGTCACCGGTGACCGCTTGGTGTTTGACAGTTTAAAGAAAGTAAGGTACCTCCTTTTCTAATTTAATAAAAAATGTACAATCAAATTGAAAGTAATGATCTAAAATTAATGTATTTTTGAGTTGTCATTCACAAAGAATATTTTTGCATGAAGTTTTTAATGTAGTTGCCATTTTTATAATTTAATTCTTTGATAAAATATTGTAACATTTATACTTTTTGGCACATTTAACACAATTATATTAATTTTTCAGTAGCACTGAAGTTGTGGATATATTTCAATCATATTATCATACTCACAACTAGTACAATTATACTAACATATCATCATGCCTTTTAAACTGTCAAACACCAAGCGGTCACCGGTGACCGCGACCTATTGTTCTTTAATTGTGTCTATAAAACCGGTACTCGACGAGTTAATACCCGAAGAGGGAAAGCAGAGATGCTCATTCTCAAACTCATTAACTCCTCCAGTGCTAGTAAAATACTACCCGACACTGGACAGAATTACTCAGAAAGAAACGATTATTCAGAACCTTTCGAATACAATCGAAAAACCCAATAATATTTCTCCCAATTTGAAAGTTAAATCCGAAGATTCCTTTTTCAGAAAGATTCTGGAATAAGTAGTTGCGACCACTCGACCAAACGAGGCAGTCCGACCATGGAAATGAGTTTAATATTCAGAATATAGACTGAAAATTTATTTGTTTACATACATACATATAAAATTTAATACAGAATTCAAGTGTTTCCTGAAGGAATAGGCAGATAATATACAAACAAAGTTACGTCCTACTAGAAATAGAGATGATGACAACTGGTCAAATTCAATACTTTTATCGATACTAAGGATTACGTAATTATCTGCAAAGACTAATTAATTACACACACTGTTTGTACAATAGTTTTATACATTTTAACTTAAACAATAACTAACCTAAGTATTAAGTTAGGTAAATATCAATTAATGGGGAAGTCACAATTTTTTAGAAAAAAAATATGTGAAAAACTTTATATTTTGACCAAGTCATCATCCCAAATAGGAACATTTTTTATATCCTTTCTACGAATTCCCTTACATCTCTTTCCCTTACATTCATTGGAATTGCAATTTGGCATACTGATGACAAGTAATGACTTATCAAACTATCTTAATTAATCTATTAGCACTTTCGAATTAACGATAATTATGGCGTTGTACAATGCGGTTATAAGTCACTGTTCAATATGAACCTGTTACCCTCAGAATGCTTGCCTGTGTACTTGTAACTGCATTTACCGTAGGCACCTGCAAAAAATATTTCAGATAATTTAAATGTCAATCATTTTAACTAGATGCTCTCACGTGGTATTATCCACCGCTGGGCTCCAGGGTGATTTTTCCTATAGTTTTCACAACTCTAAAAGTACTATTAAATTTGTACCAGTAGTTCCGTAGGTTAGCGTGTTCAGACAAACAAATACTTCAGCTTTTTATACACACACAACATCACGCCTTTTATCCTCAAAGGGGTAGGCAGAAGTGCACATTAGGCCAGTTAATGCCACTGTACAATCTAACACCCAATTTCACTATTTATGTTATAAGTCCCATGTAATATGGGGTGAGCCTTCAGCTTTTTATTAAATTATATATAGTAATAATAATAATATAAATGTAAATATTAAATTTAATTAATACAAATGTTGAAATGTCTGATTTCAATATTAGTTTCAATACAAGAGACACAAGTTTATACATGTCCTCATTTGTATAAATAACGAATAATGAGGTCTAATGGTAAGTTTAGTCTAATGTAATAAATATCGTTATTTACACTACCATTTACTAATAATACGTACGGTATAATTAAGGTATAATTAATTTAATCAACAAACGGACCTGTTTCGTAGCGCTTTCGATAAATATAATTAAAATGATTGTTTGAAATCTAGTTTGGACATTATAGTAATGAATATATTATTAACTCTGTGTGAACAAGGCAGCTGTAAGTGGGTAATTACCCACTGAAATGACAGTTGTGCAATATATTTATTATTTCGATTATTGGCTTGATTCCTCAAAATTATTATACTTGAACAAATTATCGTCAAGTTATTAACCTTCTATATCACATTCCGAGGTAAAACTCAGGTTTTCCTAGGTTATTACAACGAACCGCAACAAAAGCTGTTGCATAGTTTTAAAGTAAGTAATTGGAATTTCACCCACTACCTAACCAAAGATCCCAGTGTAGGGCAACGTTTTTTTTTAAAGTTAAAAATCATACCTCTATGTTTGCCTAATGAACCTAAGTCCAAAGGCAAGGGTCGCAATGCAGGTTTAGGTTGCAACGAAGAAGGTGTGAATGGAGTAGTGTACTCATGTGTCGGCGGCCTCCTCACGCGCATAAACTCGCCGCGCGTCGCTGCCTCCTTCCTCTCCGCTGACGAAACCCGACGGGAATCCAGAAACCGCAAGTTCGGTAGCATGTATATTACGAAATATCTGCAACAATATTAATCTGCATAAATAATAGAAAAGGCCATGGGACTAATCATTTCATTGTGGTAACTGACGAAAAGTATTATTAATTACCTACTATTACACTTTTAACCTGAAAATCTTGTCTGCACGACCCGGTAAGCAAAGTAAAAACAAAAAACCTGTCAATCTATACGAATGGATCTGCAATTTTCTTTCATACATAAATCGGCAAAGTGATTCATAGGTGTTGATGAATAATTTATTTATAAAGATTTTTTGGATCGGTAGTATTGAGATAAGGTTAGAATAAATTTGCGTATATTTATTACCTCATCTATCTGGCTATTTCATAATTTTATTAATGTGACGAACAGATTTAGGTATGTACGTCTCGTATTTAACAACTGACTTATTGGTCAAATGGTATCTACTGCGGAGCAACGAGGTTTTAATTTCCCGGGTCGTACGTCGTAATAGTACTTATTATTGGTTTATTTCAGTACCTAATAGTAAAGAGACTAAAGTAGTGAATGAAGTCCCGATGGAAATTTGTTTAAAGCAAATCCAATTCTATAGAGGTCCATATTTATGGTATCCCCCATGGAGTTCAACGTGTTACTTGTCCGCGCCCTTACTTGTAGGCACTGTCAAATGTCACAGATTGGGTAAGACTAATTATCATCATCTATGATAGAAGGGTGGATAGCTTAGGGGGTTTCTTACAATTAATAATTAAATAGACGTTGGTGAAAACGATCATGGATCACTCTCCTATTTTGATGATTATCTTACCTGTATCTTTGGTAGTCTGAATCGTCTTTGTCAACATCTGACAGTTGGTTAGGACACGCCTTGTTGCTCAGTAGGCTCAAGTAGGTCAGCGCTGGGAAGTGTTTGCTTATCTTGTTTACTAGCTCTTCTAGATCCATTATCTGTAATTGATTAATAGGAAAGTGCTATGTACTATTGTACTACAGTATTAAATAAAAAAATCATCAACTGCACTTGACAGTATATTACTGAACTGTGCTGTGGGTCTTTTAGGACTCTTTCAAATGTGGCGTCCCCTAACAACATCCTTCGTCGGCTCTTACGACAAGTACTCTTAATAAGACTACGGGTGGTGATAATCAAGGGAGACACCCGTCTACCCAGGGATGTGCCGTAACAGGCGATGCAACGTGGCAGGTCTCTTTTATAGGACCCGGTGCCCCTTACAGGTGCTGACGGTAGCCACCGGGTAGTTTTAGTGAGGTAAAAATCCCACATTCCATAGTCTTTCTCACCAAAAAGCTAGGCGCCTTTGAAGGTTCCCCGTTATTAAAAAAAGGGGATGGTGATAAAGTATTCTACTCTTTGGTCATGACACAACAGATATTACATTTAAGTAAGTTCGTACCTCATTGTTGTTGAGCGACAGAGTCTTTAAATTGGATAAGTACGGGAACGATACAGCGTCTCCCAGCTTATTGTTGTCTAATATAAGTTCCTCCAATCGACTGAACTGTTCCAAACCTTTCAATGTCTCGATACAATTGTAACTGCAACCAGACAATACAAACCATTTAAGAATAATGGTCAATTGAGGCGAATAAAGGTCGGCGCTGCGGAATACCGCAAGGGTTAGGTGCCGACGTCCAGCTGGAAGTAGGAGCAGGAGTATGAACGGGGTTGCTTTTTGTCAGTAAGAATCTCTCCAGAGCAAGTGAAACAAGTTAATTTATTTGCAAGTAGGCTGTAGCCTATTTGGTGAATAGTAGTCAATTTTATCAAGCAAACGATGAGGTCGACATTTCCTAACTGACTACTCTGAGAAGAAATTCCGAAACAAACTCAAAGGTAAACTCTTACATCACTTGTTCCAACTGTTTTGAATTAGTTAAGTAAATAATAATACGTGCGTTGTGAAAATCTTGAAGATAAGAAAACATTTACTTTGTTGCACGTTCTTAGTCTGTATTTGCCACTCAATGTCTATATTATTTTGTAGATAACTGGTTATGTAAGAAAGTAGTAAACTCTACAACAGCAAATAAAAATAGGTACCTATTAATTACAAAGTTTAGGGTGTTTTGCTCAGTTTATAAAAAATCTAAACTTGTAAACTTTTCAAAGAACAGTACCTAAAGTAGGTAACCGTTTTCGAGCCCAATTACCTTCCTATGTAAAATAAAAGAGAAGTAGGTTTGTACTTGACTAATAAATAAAAATAACCAATACTTGGGTAATACTGAGGGGCGAAAATCATCCAACGACTTCTCACACTTTGGGTTAAGCGAAAGGGAGTAGTAGTTATAGTTACGTAGTTAATTTTCATTAGTAAAACTCGAGAATTTTGCTAAGTATGAAGGTAATTCTTATAAAGATAAATACAGTATACATATTGGAAAAAGAAAAACAGCGTCTGTCGAGTCAGCTAATATCTACTTACATAAGATTAAAATTTATTTATTTTCTGCCTATGTATACAAAACATTATAATTTTATTAATGTATAGGTACTGTATGAATTGCGGTATTAATTGCTGTAATAATTTGCAAACAAGTAATAAAATAAGATAACACATACACCCAGCTACAACTTATATTAATGTAATTTATTAAAATAAAATATGTAAACTAACGTAATAAAGCTGTCTTCACATCTTTTCTGTGTTATCTTGGAACACATTCGATTTGAAAATTGTTGTATGACTAAAGAAATGGAAAGACACTAGTAGTGGCACGGAGTCTGGAATTGTGCCCGGTATATGGCAATAAGCTCCCCTATTACATAAATAGTGAAAAGTGTGTGATCCATTGTACAGTAGCATTAAGTGCCGTAATATGCACCTCTGCATACCTCTTCGGTAAATACTAATAGTCTAGTACTAATAGTGATATTATGTTTTATTTACTTAAAATGCGAAACATACAAAATATCTCTTCGTATCTTAACATAGGTCCAAAAGACAAAGACAGACGTGAGCATAATATTTAAACTTCAGAAAGTAGTAAGAATTGAATTCGTAGGTGGCGTTCTGTGCCTCAAAGAGCCATCAGACCACCACATAGTCAATAAGGCTGATGCCGATACGGAGCCGCGGAAGACTTAACTGGTTGCCGGGGCTCCGGCTCAAAGTGCAGGAGTAGGAACGGGGTGGTTTTTACTCAGTAAGAGTCTGACACTGCCTTTCGCCTCACCTGAGCGGGGAAGTCGATGGATGATTTTCCCCATCCAAAAAAATAAAATAAAAAGTAGCGTTCTGTCTGGTGGTGTGGTGTGTTTTTGCTTAATGTTCAAGGGAACAAACCCCTCTTTTTACCATGAATGAATTTTCTCTTTTCAAAACCCCTCCTATGAGTGAGAAACTCGTATATTTGACATCCGTACCGAATATGATCATCCGACAATGTGGCATTTAGAAACAGATCCGAGTAGGCGCGTAAAATCGCACGGAAGTACTAGTATAATGTATGGCTTAAAAACCTGTTCTAAGTACATTTGAACGCTTTGCACCTACATAGATATCCTTAACAAAAAAAAAAAAAAATAGCATTAGGCGTCGATAAACAATGTTTCACAGGTCTGTTACCTATGTATATGGGCTATAAGACATCGATCTTATTTTTGTGGAATGATATTAGTTAACATGGTGTTGCACCTGTTTCTAAGCGAGTCTCAATTTTTGTTTACCACAACATTTACAAATTGTTTCAATATGGAACAAATAAGCAATACTTTACAATATAACTAACACCTACAAATAACGATCTTATCGTGTGTTACGAAAGTTCATTGTCTTTTTACCCACTTTGTATCTTTATGTACTTAGGTAACAAAAGTTACGTACCTTAGGTCTAAACATTTTACTTTGGCTCCATACATCTTCTGTAAAGCTGGAGGTATTTTTCTGCAGTCTTGTCCACAATAACTTAACTGGAACAATAAAGAAATCGTGATTAACAATCTAGAAGGATGGTTATTTAATATATAAATATATAATACCTTGCATAAACATAAAATCATAGAGCAACACGGGCCGCCGGCGGACCGGAGACCGTGTTGCTCTATGCATAAAATACGTTATTTGTTCTTTAGCATCAGCCAACAACGGACGAGCTTGTACTTTAGCAGCAGTCTGAAGACGGCTACTGCTGAGAAAAACTGCAAATTGCTATAAGCACTAGACATATGCGATATATGGAGCGCATTTAGGTCGACGAACATTTTTGGTCGTCGTCACAGATTTAGAAAATACAAGTATCGTGTCTGAATCTTAGATTCTAATACTAGCTTAATTTTTTTTATAGAATGGATGCTTAATCTAAACATTTATTCTTCCAGATACATAAGAGAATTAAACGTTTGCTAGATATTTATGAAGTCATTGACGCAAGTTGTGTCGATAGAGCATTAATCCGATCCGATGTCCGTTTGGAGGTGAGTGAGGTGACATTAAATTGTGAAGGATTTTTATTTAAATAAAATTCTGCAGAGCACCGCCTCGTGTCAAATACTTTTGAATTTGTATTTTTTTTTGTATTTTTTTTTTTGCTGGAAATGAAATGAAGTGATGCGACAGAGTACTAACATAATCGACTTGGCCAAAGTAATGAAACAATAGTAAACGGAAGTGATAGGAGACCGCTACCATTATTCACAGAATCTACTAGGGTAGACGTGTTCTTAACCTGAGATGACGTCTGGGGCGCAGTGCCTTCCAGGTAGGTGGAGTGACGATTTCCGTAAAGTAGCTGGCAGTGGTTGAATGAGTAGAGCTGAAGATGAAACTCTAAGACCTATATCCTACTGATGATCAGAAGGAACAAAGGAATAGCCTGAATAGAATTATATATAGTCTATTTAGATTACTAATGGCGCCAATCTACACACTACTTCAGCAATCGAGATCTGGCCACGAGTCACATGACTTTGCAAAAAATTTCAGAAAAAGAACTCAGTCACAGATGATAAGGTTATTTTGGCTTCTTTAAAAATTAATTCCGTACTAGAAATAACCTGATAAAACATTGTTATCTTACAACAAGATTTTTATTAAATATAAAGTTGTTGTTTTTTAACCTAATTAACTGCTGCGTCTAATCACTTTGTCCATTTCATGCAGATATTTTATTACGAGAAACAAGTTCCATTATATTATAGTATACAGATATTATCCAAGTAATAAGTCTAGTCTAGTACTTGTTTGATAAATAATATACAGATAATGATTAATAACAACGGTAGAACAAGGATAATTTATCAATTCCAGTGTTTATTCTTAGGAAACATTGATAAATGTTGCTTGCAATGGACGATGGTAAATATGTAGGTAATATTATTTATGTACAAAACATATTTACTTAAGAAAACCGAATTGAATAAAGATTTATATTTTACTAACTAATTGCAGTTGCAGGTTGCAGGAGGGCGCTTCCAACCAGCAGATCTGGAAGCACCCAATTACGTATTAGGGGAAATCTTAGTTCAGCATAACTGATAAATATGGTAAAAACCATTTATGGGAAATTAAAGTAAATAAGTTGATAAACAATTGTGTACCTATGATGTCAAAAATCTAAAATACCAATGGCTGACCCGCTTCAAGTTACAGAAACCAAAAAATACATATTCTTTAGAAAATTGCTTGTACAGACGAGAATTAGTATTAGTCTTATCAGATAGCAAATTCATATAATAAATGGGTAAGTCTACTATTACTATCCTAACATAAAAACTACCTAGCAATAGGTAACTATGAAATGTTCCGAATTTTTCATTCATACATAAGTCGAGTCTACAACACTAAATTAAATGAATTATATATTTCTATACAATATGTTAATAATACAGGCTTGGTATTTAAATCTATATCCCATACTAAACTTGGTTAGCTAATAGCTAAAAATATCGTTTGAAAGACCGACTCAGCACGCGACGGCCATGGCATAACTAATGGAGTAGAAAACCGGTTCAAACTGATTTTTTCCAAAATAGTTTAAGAGGCCAGATATAAACTAACTTAACTTTTTTACCCCTGACTGCTGATTGTAAATTCACAATAGAATTAAAATGATGATAGCAGAAGCAAATACTTGTCATATTCGATACAATTAAACATATAATTATATTTCAGTAGTACCTACTTATTTTGGATGAGACCTTTCAGCAGTGGACGTCATGTGGTTGATATAAATATTTTTTAAACCCGATTTACTTAGGAGTTAATCATCTTTTAACCTTTATTACCCATAGTAATTTGAAATCTATACAAACAAACAGAGAATTACGATAAAATAGTTCTTTTATTTTACAGAAATAGTTTGTGTCCTTCTGTGACTTTTAAGAAAAATTGCTAATCATGGCATGACTTTAGTATGTTAACTCGTCGAGTACCGGTTTTATAGACACAATTAAAGAACAATGGGTCGCGGTCACCGGTGACCGCTTGGTGTTTGACAGTTTAAGTTGCTTTAGCTGTAAGAGGTCATAACTTAACCATGAGTAACTACTTCAAATGTAGGTAAAACAAGTAATTAGTTTGTCTGTAAACCCATAAGCTTCAAGTGTGTCGTAAAAAATTTACATCATGAACCAAAGAAGGTGAAGTTTCACATCGGGAAGAGGTTTATGGTCGTGTCACTTACCAGTTTTATTTGTAGTATTGTGCGAGTCTTGCTTTATCTTTACTGCGGGACCGCGGGTCATTTTATTAGCATCATAACAATCTATTTATTGCGGACTACATAACAGATACACTAACCGTATACGACTGTATTACCGTTACAATATTACGACCCCCTCAGATCAAGTTATCATACATCCCGGTTTATATTCTCGTATGCCTGTTTTTTTTTTCTGCGCAGATTAGGATTTTGTCAAACTAAATCAATACTAAGAAATACTTACCGACTGAAGTATTTAAAAGCCTCATTGGCAGAGTGGTCGCAAGTGCGACTGCCGGGCAAGGGGTCTCGGGTTCGATTCCCGGGTCGGGCAAAGTATTACTGGGTTTTTAAAAAAATCTCAATCAATCAATCATGTATATGGCAATAGGCTCACCCCCTATTACATGGGACTCAAAACATAAATAGTGAAAAGTGGGTGTTACATTGTACAGTGGCATTAAGTGCCGAAATGTGCACCTCTGCCTCTGTTTGAAGTATTTAAAGAAAATTTCATACGCTGATTTGTCTTTATTTTGGTAATAAATAATGAATGAGGTCTTTGTTTATTTTGGATCTTTTCTAGTGTAAGTAATGTTTATAAAAATAAAAATGCAGTTCGACCGGTTGGCTTTGCCGTCTAGTAGCGTAGGACGGTTATCGTGCTTGTTTCATATCAAGGTGAGGTCAACGTGGATGCGTGCTTTGTGAGAAAGTTACGTAGGCACAGATAGAGTTAGTGATGTGGTCAAGTAAACTAATTGTGGTTATAAACTTCGAAACTCTTCAGAGTAGACAACCCTATTTGAAGAGCTTAAAAACTAAAACACCCATGAAGTTTGTAATTAGAGAGCACTTAATTTAAACAAAAATTGTAGGTGTCTACGATATATAAGAGAAGATAGGTACCTACTCTTGCAAAGGTCTATTAAAGAGATTTATAGGTCATTGATAAAACTTATGGATCAATTTTAACTAACTACATAAAACCCAGACAGATGGATGGTAAACAGCCTAGTGAAACTTATAAAGCAAAAGCACTATGTAATAAATAATACAGCAAATTTAATAAGACCTAACTTCATTGTCTAGCTTTGAGAGTTCTAGTCTTAACAGTGTTTGTGTCGCAGAGTTCGTATTATTTAAGCAGGCGAATGTTAAATGTAACTAAGTGTAATTTTTTTTTTTAAACCGTCGCCCCACGTTTGCATTTTCTCCTGTGTCGTGGGTGCGTTTACAAACGTACAAGTTCACACACACAATGACATCCAGACCCGAAACAACAATTTGTGGATCACACAAAATGTTGTTCCGTACGGGAATCGAACCCGCGACACGTTGCACGGCAGGCGGTTGCCTATCCATCGTACCAACCGTGCAGTCAAATCAAAAATAGATAATATCTAAGTGAGGAAAATGAAAACATCATAATATCATACATCACAATATGATGTAGTTATGTGCTTTTCGTTTTCTTACATACTAGGTAAGTGCCTGTATCTGTTTAAGCTGTTTACACTACAGAGAAGTACACTTTATTAGACAATATCGTCAGCGCGACTGTTTGTTGTGTGTGTGTAAAAGTGTATTAAAATGACGGTGTAGGTACGCTCACCTGAACATTCCCCTCCTCGATTATCACACTAACATGAGAAATCTGTTCAACCCTCTTACAGTCTGGAAGAACATACTTCTCAACAGTTAACAACTGTATTTTATACTTCAACTGAGATTTAACCGCCTTCTTCGATTCATCAGTCCGTCTCCACCAAGTAAACACCCTGCCATACTTAGTCACAACTACTATCAATTTATAGATAGCTAAAGGAAACAAACACGTTTCGAAGAATGTTATAAGAATGGCGCCGGCGTTTAGCACATCACTAAAGTTTTCAGACAGTTTTTTAGTCACAGACTCTATGTACGTTGACATTTTACGTTTTTTGTTGAAACTTCACTACATTTTCACTGATTTTAGTATTTTTATAATTGAAGAATATCTTCATAAAGGCGTTCATGGGTAATATTTTACAAAATATGCCCTTCGCTGTTTAGATAAGCTGATTAAATGGCAATTATTTATAACTGAAAACACTTGTCATAATGTTAGGTAGTAGATAAAGTAATTATCTAATAGATATTCCTCTTTGTTAGTGTACAAGTGAAAGATTAGAAAAATAATGTGTTGCAGTTCCTTTGTAGCAACCTATTTATGGGAGTTTGTACCTATAATTTAATTATCTGTGCACACAATGTTGCATGTAGGTATGAGTAAGAAGTTTTTAACATGATTCCAGTAAGTATGTCAAGTTTGTAGGCTATATCTATGGATTGTGTGGTAAATGTGAATGTTTAGTTTATAATCCTTTGAGGAATTGTGTTAATTTTTGTGCCTACTTAAGTACAATATCTAGTTTCTTTTAGTATATAGGTCTTAAGTTTTGTTGTTTGATAAAATAATTTGATCAGGTAAGTTCCTTTGGTGTTGTGTCCTATGAACATAATTTGGGGAATATAATTCAGCTACCTACATACTACCTAATAACTGAGATACTCATTTTTCGCTATTAGTTAGTATACTGACTACACATAAAAATAATTATATAAACTAAGTTTAAAAAAGTATGTTTTGAAGTCGCTAAAATAATATACTGAAAACCTTCTCCTAAGTGTTAAAAACGCTTTTCAGAAAACCACATAAAAATCAGTTCCACGGATCAAGAGATAATCGCATACAAACATACATACATATACATAACTATCTTCTTTCTGAAGTTGGTTAATGAGCACCTGCTCACGATTACGATATACCTATGTAGATAGTTAATCAAACATTTTAACTCGTCGAGTACCGGTTTTATAGACACAATTAAAGAACAATAGGTCGCGGTCACCGGTGACCGCTTGGTGTTTGACAGTTTAAATGTCGAAGCCAAGCTGGTAGTTTATGTCAAACCTTCCCATGTAAAGGAGTTCCACAGTCCTATTCACTGTATACATATTATCGTCTAGCTGTAAGACATCCACTGCTAAAAATAGGCCTCATTTAAATTCTTTTAAATCTAATATGTTTAAATGAAAATTCAGTCCCAGAAACGGTCCTATCAATTTTTTTTTAATTTTGTGTACAGAGGTTTCAGGGATGTTAAATCAATGGACATTTAAATAGCTCAGTCTGGTAATCGGGTGCTTTCCAGCTTCTAGCGGAAGGGTGCTGCATACTGCATGATACAAATTCATTTTATCACTGGAATAAAAACTATATAATATTTTTCCAGTTGTTAGTGTACATTCATAATTTTATTTTAAGGCAAATTAAGTACGTGGTATCTAAACGAATTCAAAAAAAACAGTTGCTAGATAAGTATCTATATTATAGCTAATAATCATAAGTAGGTTTTCATAAAACATTAAATAGTTACAAAAGAAGATATTAACCTACTTACTTTACTAACAGGCAATTAATATTTCACAGAAACAATTAAAAATAACATTGTTTAACAATGTTATCGTACTGCTTTATTCTTTTTTTAACTTTTTTATTGAATGTTCAAGCCTAACACGCAAGCAGTCAAGTAAAGAGTTGTTACTTTCATAAATAGGACCTACTAAAAAGTACATAAAAATCGTTGAAAACAAAGTCCAAACAAACATATGCATTTTATAAAGATAAGTTTCTTAGCAACATAGATTTATTCTCATTACTTAGCAAACTTACTTGGCCATTATCAAAATTCAACGCCGTATTATTCACATGGTTTTCCTCCATATTTACACACTGTGTATATTAAACTTATTATAAATTAATTGGCACTACAACACAGACCACTAGCTACCACTACTACTGATTACAATCAATTAAATTAATGAATGACATTAGACTGACTGCCCCAAACAACTGAAACAACATTGTTTACCCGATGTATTGACAGTTAATCGACATTGACATTTCTGCTGATGTGACAGTTAACAATCGCAAGAAGTTATTAGTCGAGTTTCTGAGAAAATCGTCTAAATATAATTATCTACAACTAAAAACCGGCACAGTGCCCACATTAAAAATTATGTAAATACGAAACAAGGACCATGAAAATTTTAACGTCCTTAATACAAAGTACAATTATTTACCCATTTACCTATCACTCTAAAACACTTTGCAATGAAAGTACGGTCGGATGTTCTTTCAAATGTGCAACCAAGGATGTAAAAAAAGTCTATAATCTCTTTTGAAATAAAAAAGTATATTTTCAACGTCCTTGAGTGCAACTACTAGGGAGGAAATTAAAATACTGATAAACATTTAATAATTCAACATTTATTTTATAAATTGCAAAACCGAGTAGGCTCTTACATAATTAAATAATAAATTATTATTTGCATTAATACCTAGACAATACTTCAATACTTTGTGTACAATGTAACAATGATATAACAAGTAAAATTATTTAAAATATAAAATGTCATTGTTTGTTTAGGTATCGATTTTGTGACTTTTAAGGAACGTCAATTTTCATAGCTTCAAACTGTTTTAGGTAAGGCCGTGGCGACTGTCTTCACTTCGGTGTAAGCTAGTAATGAATCCAATCCACTGGAAATAATTAAAAATGCACAATTATACAAAAAAAATAAATAAAAATATATGAAACTATTTACAGTTTACTTCTGGACGATAAACTGGGAGATTAATGGAAAACCTTAATGAATCGTGTCTTTGGAAATGGGAGACCGCTGTGATACCTACAGATACATAATGATGTATGAATTTATTATGGCAGACTTTCTAATTTAGCAGGTTAACTATGAAGTTTCAAACTTCGAACGGCGCGGGCGCGGGAAGGAGTTCGAGACTGCAGTTTAACAATTTCAGGTATAATAAAATGTTTCAGAAAGTGCTACACTGTCAGCAATACTGAAAGCCTGAGTGCCTGATTTGCTGAGTGTATGAGTTGCTAAGTGCCTGAATTGCTTAGCTACTGTGCCACCGGCCAGTCACAATAATCGTATTGATAGAATTATTATTATGTCTAATTAATACTCACTTCTCACGACCAATTCCAGACTGTTTGAATCCTCCGAACGGCTGTTGAGGCGTGAAATGTAGATATGTGTTGACCCTGTAAAAATAAAATTAATTTAATAATTTCTTAAACATTACATGTGCACCTAGTAGTCAATTCTAAGGAATTAGGCACAGTGGCGTAACTATAGGTACTGATCGAAGCCCCTGGCAAACTTGGATGGGCCCCCTGTGCTTATTAAAACAGAGAAGTTCAGGTGAGAGCCTCTTCGAACTGGGGCCTATGGCATTTTGGCGAATTGCCACCATGTAGTTACGCCACTGAACAGGCAGATAGACTCTGCACAAAAATTATTGCAGTAGTCTTACCAAACAATTCCAGCTTCAACGTGTTTGGAGAACTGCAGAGCATTGTTAAGATTGGTTGTGAAAATTCCAGCTGCTAGTCCATATTCTGTAGCGTTAGCCCGGTCAATAGCCTCGTCTAAAGTGTCAAACTTTAGAATACTTTGTACGGGGCCAAAGATCTGAAATTAAATGCAGGTTCATAATTAGAGTAAGTAAGGTAAAATTAACACTAGGTATAAATATTTACTGCATCGAGATATTTCAAATAAATACCTCCTCCTTTGCGATGGTCATGTTATCGGTGACGTTAGCGAAGACGGCGGGCTGGATGTAGTAACCAGAGGTACCGATTCTGTGACCGCCACATAACAACTTCGCACCTTCTTGTTTTCCGCTCTCGATGTATCCCAAAACTTTGTTCATCATTTCTTTGTCAATCTACGAAATTAGAGTCTCGTGAAAAACAATGACATTTACTACATCATATACTCATGGTGTGATGAGCGTTTTCCTTTTTGTGATCATCGTTCATCTAGGTACTAATTCTTATTAGCTTACCTGAGGTCCGTTCTGTGAGGTGGGATCGGTTGGGTTTCCAACTTTAATGCTTTGTGCGTACTTGACAGCAGCTTCAACGAATTTGTCGTAGATGCCAGATTGTACAAATAAACGAGAAGCTGCTATACACATTTGTCCTTGAAGGAAGAATACTGAGTTACCGGCATAGCGAACAGCAACGTCCACTGAAAATAAATTATAGTAATAAAAAAAAAAAGAAACAATCAGACGAACATAGTACCTCCTCCTTTTTTTGAAGTCGGTAAAAATAAAGCCTTAAATATTTTGGATTAAGAACTACCTAAGTGAAAAATTTAAACTTACAATCAGCGTCGTCCATAATGATTAGAGGGCTCTTTCCACCGAGTTCTAGAGTGACTCTCTTCAAGTTACTGGCACCTGACGCCTGCTGGATCAGTTTTCCGACCTATGGACAAAAATTGTATTATAGCCATTACTTTAAGTACACGAGTCACAAGGCCTAATATTTGTCTTTATTTTTTGTTGGATTTACCTCGCGAGAGCCAGTGAAGGACACCTTAGCGACATCACTGTGATGAGTGAGGCTGGTACCAGCACCAGGTCCGAAACCATTGATAACGTTTACAACTCCCTTGGGGACACCAGCTTCGGCTAGAAGTGCCGCAAGTACGAGTGCGGTAAGCGGAGTTTGTTCTGCTGGCTTTACCACCATGGTACAACCTGAAAAATAGCATGAAAATATAAAAAAGAACAATTGACGTAAGCTCTCGGTATTTATTATTAAGAAAAATAAACGAATGAGCCTCACCTGCAGCAAGAGCTGTGCAAACTTTGCTAAGGAACATAGAAATTGGAGCATTCCATGGCAGAATTAATGCGCACACGCCCACGGGTTGTCTCAGGGTGTATGAGAAAACTTCGCCATCTGTAGACGAACGAGGAAACTTGTAGAGAATCTAACATGATATTAAAACATTGCTTAAAAGCAAATATGTGTTATTATAGTACCTGCGGGTATAGTTTCTCCTGTTATTTTATCAGCACAGGCTGCGAAGTACCTGATGGAGTTCACAGCTCCGCTAACAAATCCGTAGGCGAAATTAAGTACAGTGCCATTGTTGTAGGATTCAAGTTCAGCAAGGTACTTTTGGTCTCTTTCTACGAGCTGAGAAAATTTGTAAAGTATTTCCCCACGTTTGGAGGCGTCCATCTGACGCCATTCTGAGTTGCGATGGAATGCACGCTTTGCTGCAGCTACTGCCAAGTCTACGTCTTCCTGGAAACATCAGAAGACAACAATGTGATAATTTATGAATATATGAAAATATGCACTTTTAACTGTAGGAAGAGTATTTTTTGAAGATTAAATCTTTGTGCGAAGATTAAGTCTTTGAACAGGAATCAAGAAAGAAGACAACCATGGTGAAACAGGTAATACAGAAGACTGAGGAGTGCAATGAGCTTATTGCCATTAAAGTAAGTAACACTGTGAGCTGGAGAGAGGGCTATACTTGGACGTCATTGACATCTTACATTACAACACATGAATGTTTGGAGTATACTGAAGGATTGAATTTGAAATGAGTTGATCAGATAGACAACCAAAATTATCGATATGGCTTTGAGTCTAGAGTCTAGTCTCATTTATCTAGAACCGATTATCACTAGAACGTATTGAGGACCACGGTTACACAAACATAATGTAGGGGCTTTCCACCTAGGTGAAGGACGACATGGGTAGCAGTGTTTGCATTGCACACGAAGACCCGGTGATCGGGCTTGGTAGCATGCTCTAAAGCTATTTGAATTACCTATATCCAGCAACAGTAAAAATTAATACTCAAGTATGTGAATAAGTGATATACTTATTAGCTTTACCTTATCCCCCTCAGCAACTCTGGCGATGACGGATCCATCATGAGGGTTGTATGTCTCGAAGGTTTTGCCACTCTTAGCGTCCACCCATTCGTTGTCAATGAACAACTAGAAATAAAATATTCATGCAACTTTACATTAAATACGTGTTAAATACAATATGTACGTCTCTCTTGAATTTTATATTTATGTTATTTGAATTAAATATTAATATGTAAGTAAGCAACTTGTAGCGAAGCCCATAACTAAAAAAACCGGTACAATTGAAATTTCTGGTTAATTCGTATATTTTTTTTAATAATTCCAAAAAATCTCTAAATCCCAATCCTTTCTAAACCTTTTTTGATTTCATTTTAAAATATACGTGATATACTAGAGTTATAATAATTTCTCTTTATCTCTTCTGTTTTTTCTTTAGCTATTTCGATTGTAATTTTCACTTACAATATAAAACTTATTTTTATATCTTTTAGTCTTTAATATTATTTATTTTAATATAATACATCGACACCAGAAGTATCAATTAATGTAAGGGACAAAACACGTATTTTCAGGAGAGCCAAAAAACGATTTTATTTTTTTAAATCTCTCTATAACTTTTAACTGGTGCTTCCTATTTTAATTGTGTCTAGGACAAAGTTTCTTAGAATTTCTTCTTCTTTCATGCTATAAAGTTAATATTTTGGAATACCCAGCGGTTTAAAATATAGCATGTCCCTTACATTAAAAAAATACGTTTAGTTGTGCCTTACGTTACTAATATTTTAGGTGTAAACCGTCAAGCATAGCGTAAGCAGCAAAAGAAATAGAAAATTATACGAAATTCTACTGTAAAGAACTTTTATAGTATTGCAGTTTGATGTAACTATAGATTATCTACTAAAATTATGGTATTTTGATACTTTGGAAATAGGTTCTTTGCATGATTAATAATAATAATAATAATAAGCCCCCTCAAATCTAACCACACGGCCCGATCGAACATCAGATCACGTGGGGGGCGGGCAACGCATAATTAATATTACTGGGCGGCTAACGTGGCAATAGTAACCCATCGACGAAATGGAGACGAGAGCTAAAAGAAAATTACGTATAGGACCGCTTCCCGGGGGCGATCGCCGGGGCACGCCTGGAGCCGATGCTGGGCGTTTCAGCATACGAACCATCGGTGGTAGTGAGTTGAGTCAGCGGGCTCCTACCGGGTCACCCGAACAAGTCACAAGCAGACCATCATCCTCAATTTCCCTGTTTCCCTCACTCCCTTCTTCTCCTCTCTCCTGTCTAAACTACAACAATGATTATTCCTCAATTTCTTCACCTTCTTCTACTAACTCTGCAGCCATGGATGTTGTGCAGGAGGCAGTAGCCAACAATCCTGCACCCACCACTGGTCAAGTTCGCGCGCGAATGAGATGGACAACAGAGATGAACGAGTTCATCTGGCGCACCTACCTTTCTGTCACAAATCTAGATACAAAAATCCGCGGTTATTTAGACCCCCTTCACGCCAAATTCACTGACAGATTTCCAGAAATGATAGTTTCGAAACAACGACTCGGTGATCAGAAACGCGCCATTCTTAGAAACAAATTGCTTCCTGAAAACACATTAGAGCTTATTAAAAACGAAGTACAGATTGAACTCCAAAGCAGTAACAATAATCACAACACAATAGTTTCCACACACACTTTAACATCCGGTTCGCAGCAACCAACCAATACAAGTACTCGTTTAAAATGGACCGAGGATATTAATGAAGCTATTATTAAGGAGTACTACAAAATAACCCATATTGAAACCAATAGAACTGCTTACAGAAAGCAACTACATACTACCATTACACAACAATTCCCTGTCATAGCACATGTCTCCGAACAGCGTATTGCTGACCAACGCAGAGTTATCCTTAATAATAGACTCATATCAGATGACAGACTAGAGGAAATAAAAAGAGAAGTAAGAAGTAGTCTTAGCACACAGTTAATACAGAACACTCCACATGACAACATTACAGATGTAAACACCTCAAACTCTATTAGTGAGTTTAATCAAATCGACTTCCAAAATAGCATAGTAGATAATACAGATACAGGTCCAATAACATTGCAGGCTGAAATTACTAGTATATCAGTTGATGAGACACTAGATACTAAAATAGAGAAGAAATTCGAAGAAATTTATCACACTTTCTTATCCACAGACCCTACTAATAGACCATTTATACCAAAACAAAAAACATCAAAAAGATTTGCGCACATAATATCTTATTTAAACAACACAGTACTACCAAAATACAGCTCTCAAGAAGACGATTTTCTTAAAACTCACATGCTCGTGTATTGTGCGGCCTACACCGCCGCCCTATGTAATGGCTCTAAATTCAAAGAACATAGCAACCAAAATTCATCTACTACACAACACAACGATACACCACTTATTACACAGCACAACCAAACATCATCCACTACACAACGCATCCAAACATCATCTGCTACACAACAAATCGGTAACATAAGAGAGAAGAGACCAAATTGGTTAAGACGACTAGACCAAAAGATACTCATAATCCGTAAAGAAATAGGCAGAATGACTCAATACATCAACGGCAACAGACATTTAAAACTAATTGCACACATCGAAAAAATTAAACATAAATACAAAACACATTCTAGCTACGAAGAACCAAACACAACGAATGAGCAATTCATGGATAGTCTAAAGCAAAAACTTACAGCTATAACAAGTAGGCGGCGTAGGTACTTTTATTGTACTAAACGAAAAGACCAGAACTCTCAATTTACAAACAACGAAAGGCAATTTTATAGGGCCCTAACTACCGACTCAACACATACACAAAATAGGCAGCAAGCAACAGAAACACCACACCCCAACTCTGAACAGCTACACAGTTACTGGTCGAATATTTGGTCAAAAACATCTGATTACAATCATACTGCCGAATGGATTCAACACGATAAAGAGAAATTAGAACAGCTGCCACAAATGTCATTTGATGCTATTCCGCTAGAGGTGTTTATTAACGTCATCCAAAAAGCACATAACTGGAAGTCTCCTGGCACAGATCACATTCATAACTACTACTATAAGAAACTCACTTCCCTACATCCGTCTATCTATAAGCATATTAACGACTTCATAAAAAATCCCTACAATATACCTGACTTTATTACACAAGGCCTAACATATATGATTCCAAAAGATTCCGACCACATGAACCCAGCCAAATATAGGCCCATAACTTGCCTACAAACAATTTATAAATTGACAACCGGATGCATTTCAGAAATCATTTACAAACACGTATCACAAAATAAGATTCTGGCCGAAGAACAAAAAGGATGCCGTAAATACAGTCAGGGATGCAAAGAACAGCTGACAATAGATCTAATAGCCATGAAACATAATGCTAAACAGAAAAACGACATTTTCACAATGTATATTGACTACCAAAAGGCCTTTGACTCAGTCCCCCATAGCTGGTTACTATATATATTAGACCATTATAAAATTCACCCAGATTTAATTAAATTTTTAACCGAATCCATGAAACATTGGAGCACTAAAATAAAATTAGGAAAATTCGTGCAAACGGATCTGATAGCCATTAAACGGGGAATATTCCAAGGCGATGCCCTGAGTCCTCTTTGGTTTTGCCTTGCTTTGAACCCTCTTTCCAATCTTCTTAATTCTTCTGACTGCGGTCTCTCTCTTAAAGATAATAGCACCGGACAAAATTTAAATTTAACCCACTTGATGTTCATGGATGACATAAAACTCTACAGTAATAGTATATCAGGACTTTCCTCACTTGCAGACCTCACTCAAACCTTTTCAGACGACATAAAATGACTTTTGGCATTGATAAGTGCAAAACATTCCCTCTTAAAAGGACAACACATCGAAAGCAATCCCTACACTCTGGAATCTGGTGCAATAGTAGAATCAATGACACAAAATTGCAGCTACAAATATTTAGGATTTGAACAAACATATCAAATAGACAAAAAGTGCACCAAAAGTAAGATAACCACTAAGTATAAACACCGACTTAATATGCTTGTAAGATCACAATTAACATCCCGTAACCTATTCAAATCTATAAACTCATTTGCCATCCCTATACTCACATACTCTTTTGGAATTATAAACTGGTCAAAAACCGATCTAACGAAATTACAGCGGTCCATCAATACATCTTTGACCATAAACAGAAAGCACCACCCACGATCCTGTGTGCAAAGACTCACGTTACCGAGAGATGATGGAGGACGGGGTCTTATTGACATTGAAAACCTTCACAACCAGCAGATTGCAAACTTGAGAAAATATTTCTTCCATAAAGCTCAACAATCCCCCCTTCACAAAATTTCATATTTGGATAAAAATTACACCCCATTGAATTTGCACTCTTCTGACCCACAACGTAATGAGCGTATAACCACCAAGTCAGACAAAATTGTAGCTTGGGAACGTAAATCCCTCCATGGAAGACATCGCCTCGACCTACAGCAACCTCATGTCGATATCAAAGCATCGAACGCGTGGCTGAGGCGAGGCGAACTCTTCCCTGAAACGGAGGGATTTATGATTGCCATACAGGATCAGGTCATTGACACCGCTAATTACCAAAAATACATAATCCGCAGACCGAACTACAATGACAGTTGCAGGCGATGCCATGGTGCTCCGGAGACAATCCAGCACATCACTGGCGCCTGCAGAGCAATAGCCCAAACTGACTACAAGCACCGTCACGACCAAGTAGCCGCGATAATCCACCAATCCCTTGCCATCAAAACAAAACTTATTACAGATAGAGTCCCATACTATAAATACAAACCAAATACAGTGCTCGAAAATGAGAATTTCAAATTATATTGGGACAGAACTATTATAACAGATAAGACAATATATAATAACAGGCCAGACATTACATTGTTAGATAAACAGAATAGAGTAGTATATATAATAGATATAGCTATATGCAATACACACAACCTTGTTAGCACACATACAGAAAAAATCGCAAAATACACCGATTTATCTATTGAAATTAAAACACAGTGGAACGTTACCCAGACTAAAACCATCCCCATAGTATTATCCAGCACAGGAGTCATTCCAAAAACTCTTCACAATAGCCTGAATTCATTAAATATTAGCCCATCAACTTATCTCCTCTTACAAAAAGCCGTTATTCTAAATACATGCCGTCTTACCCGCAAGTTTTTAAATACCTAAGTATAGTAATTCTTTTTAGCACTTGGCTTCGGCCCGTGCCTATTTTAACCCCACTCGATGGGAGAAATGCAGAGCATAAACGGAAATAATAATAATAATCAATTTTATTTCAGACTTAGTCCATATTTGTTAGTAACAATGTTCTTAATCTAGTGTTAGTAAAAATACACACAATAATCAGAGACAATAATAACATACAAATAAATAAATGAGTAATAAGTTAGTAACAATATTCTTAGCCGAGTGTTAGTAAGATACATAGATATACATATATACTTGTGATTAAGTCAGGCACTTGCTCTCACGTGTAGGCCTATCCAGTGCGCCATCAGCACCGAATCCCAGCGTCCGGCACACGCGGCCAGCATGCCGCTAGGGCTGCCGCGCACTCGCGACATCATCGATGCACGATTAATGAGCTTAGCTATCACAAATTTAAATGAAATTTAGGGATACAAAAATAAAACGATTTCTTGTTAAAATATTTTTATTATTTTCGACTTTTATGTCTGCGTAATTATTATAAATTCAACACACTAATCAGTCTATAACAGTTTTTGTTAAGTTTAAATAAATGTCCTAAAATTAACAGTCTTCAAATTAACAGTCTTACACACCTTTTAATCAATTTAAAAAAATATAATTATGTATTTGACTCCATGATCTCTTATGATTGAACAAAGCTAAGGCCTTAATTAACAGTTGTACAAACTATGTACTTTTAATATTTACGTTTCATTGGTTTTATAATAAAAAAAGAAAGAATATTTTCTCAAACTTAATCAACAGTTTTATTTATTGAGTAATTGAATGAATGTACTGGAAACGAAAGACGATGAAAAAATATGAATTGACTGAAGAAAAAAATGAATGAAATAATATAAAACATGAACACTAATATATATATTATTACAAGAATAAATATATAATAATTAGGAATGGGCAGACAGATTATGATGATAACTATTAATAAATTAAACTTTTTTAATGGTGAAATCGGAAGGGTTGAAATAACTTTTTCTATTTGGTATTTTATCTAGGTATCGTCATCAGCTGTCTTCACATCTTCATCGTCGTCAGTTTCAATGAGGGTATCTTTAACTGACAAATATTCAACACGAAATCTTTTTGGTATTATGCCCGTGTCGCACAATTTTTTGAGATCATTGTATTTTGGAATGGAAATTGGGAGCCTCTCTTTATATAGAGATGGCAAATTGTCTGTGTTCCTTTGACTTATGTCATTGCTAGTACTTTCAGCTGCAGATATAATTTAGAAAAAACAATCATCTTGAATTAAAGTAAGGGACATGTTATTTAAATTGACTGATTTGAGGTTTAAGGTAAGGGTGTAAATTATTTAATACTATGACTTACTTTATTTTTCAGAGAAAAAAATATATAAATGTCTGTTACATCAATTTTTCTGTCATAAATCGTTTTACGCAGGCCAAAAATTTTTACTGTAAGGGCTCTTTTTTTAACGATAGATTTTTTTTAATAATACCAATCGATAGAGCGCAAAATTCTGGATCCAATGATATATATAACTTATTTTCGTCAAAATGTCCCTTACGTTAATTGATACTTCTGGTATCGACATGTATACGCAATTAAATTATATTTCATTATGTTAACTTTCAGTTATTACTTCGATACATAGAAGCGAATTGAATTTTATTAGCGCGTAGGTATAGGTACTGTTTTTATTTCTGTTGACGACTGATATGAAATTGTACATTAAACTTAATTTGATTAAGTTCAAAAGTTCATAAATACTTTTAAAATATATGAACACAGAAAAATATTTTTATAAATAAATAACAAACTGCATAACAAAAAAAAACAAAAAGAGAAGAAACACAAACCTTTGTGTATTTAATTTCGGGTGCCATTTTTAATTTAATAAAATATCACTGATATAATATCACTATAAAACATGCGACGCGACGGTCAAGATGAACTTAATGTTTCGGAATACTACACAATTGGTCTCTTATATGCTATGTTGCAAACACAGATAAAAACTTTGCACTGTCATCGTTACGAATATATTTTTGTAGTCATTCATATCACGATAATAGTCCCATGTTTACAAAACTTAAGATTAGTTTGATTTGATAATATTATGGATGGTATATATTTATTACATAAGGTCTATTTATAACACATGGTAGTTACACAAAAGTTATGGTAACATTATACTAAGGAAAAGCTTTTTTAAGGATATATAAGCAGATGGATCACTTGATGGTATTCGATCAGTGCCGCCCACGGAGGCCCGCAGCACTCGAGTTGCTAGTGTGTGATTGGCCTTGAAAGGGTATAATAATCTAAGTTTTCTGTAATTTCTGTACGTTTATGTAAGCGTTTTCATTCTAGGTATTATCTTGCATTTAAAGCTTTATTTTGGTTTAATTGGCTGATGAAATTTTTTGAAATTACACACTTAATAATGCAACCTTTTGTCTATGTCACCATGACTAGTATTTTTTAAATCCACAATTTTAAATGTGATTAATTTACAGTTATTATCTAGAGGGTCGGTGTCTGTTATAAGATAACTAGGTAGGTTCTGATACTGTGTCATAATATTGTGCAATTTTGCGAAGATCGCATTGTTAATAACAGATCACTCCGCAGCTAATCTGTCAAAAAATCAGTCGCGTAGACACCTACACAGCTACCAACGCTTGTTGATGGACTATTTATTTATTTATTCATTTTGAAAATTCTCATTGACTGCCTCATTGGCCGAGTGGTCGCAAGTGCGACTGCCGGGCAAGGGGTCTCGGGTTCGATTCCCGGGTCGGGCAAAGTATTACTGGGTTTTTATAAATCTCAATAGTAGCACGGAGTCTGGAAAAATGTGCCCGGTATATAGGTTCACCCCCTATTACATGGGACTCATAACACAAATAGTGAAAAGTGGGTGTTACATTGTACAGTGGCATTAAGTGCCGAAATGTGCACCTCTGCCTACCTCTTCGGGGATAAAAAGGCGTGATGTTATGTTATGTTATTTTGAAAATGTACATATATAACACCACAGCTTACGCCATTAAGTTATACTGTTAATCTTATATAAATGCTATTATTTAGGTACTTAAAAACAAACTAATTAGGTAATCAGATACAAGAAATAAAAATTAATACAATAAAGAATACTATGGCTCTATATTGAGATAGTGTTTTACACCACTCAATTTTGGCGATTAAAATATATTTTTAAACAATTTTAACAGATTACCGCCCGTTAATTTTAAGTTGTATTTAAATATCGTGCCATCTCTGTCATTTTACAAACAATTTGTAGTGACTATACTTAAACGCGACTTAAAATGTACCTTTATTATTCGAGCATAAACGTAACATAAATTAAGTAGGCACGCCCTGAATGGTTTTTTTTTTAAGGGGGGAAAATCATCGAATGACTGCTCCCGCCCGGGTGAGGCGGAAGGGAGTGTCAGACACTTACTGACTAAAAACCACCCCGTTCCTTCTCCTGCACGTCGAGCCGGAGCCCCGGTTACCCGTTAGGTTCTCCGCGACTGCCCTGAATGGTTAGGCAGAGCTTAAATGTGATTTTGTGTTGAAAAATATAAGATTATTTTTTATTAAAGTTACAATCATTAGAATTTTTTTATGAGCACCTCTTTGATTATAATTATAATGGAGATAATTATAATTCATTATAATTATAATTCTAGATGGAGCGTCAGTTCACGAAAAGCGTCCCAAAAATTTACAGTGAACTGTTCGGTGCAATGCACTTTCCCGTCAAGTAGTACCAATCGTGTCACCTAGGCGTAACTATGTGTATGCACGCTAAAAAATAAATTTGTAAACAAAAAAAGTACACTGCGAAGATGGCCACTTGCTCCGTGAAATTGTGCTAAAATTATAAATGACGGTTAAAAAGTACTAAACAGATCACTTATCCATCGCTAAGTAATTAAAAATTACATTATTCAATTTATGTTTTTGACCTAAGTAATTGCCGCCATATTTTATCAGTGTTGCCAATATATTTCACGGGTCTCACAAAGTGGAAAAATTGTAAAAAAACCCACTTGTTTGTAAATTAAAAATAAAATAATATTGTTATTATTTATTGAACTAACACTCACCTACGCTTTAATGTACTATTTATTCTAACCAACTTAAAAAAAGAAAGTTGGTTTCGATTGTGCTTTTTAAATTCGAATCGATTGAAATAATATTTTTTGATGGAAAGGGTGCAAGTGCTAAAATATCTATTTTTAAATTGGTTTTATAAAAATAATGTAAAAAATGTCTTAATATGAACATTTCATTATTCTTTTCATACGGAAAATAAATTCTGTATATCAAAAAAATATAGATATCAACAAAGTGTCCAATAAAAATCGATTTCAAAGAGATGGTTACAATTTTTTTTTATTTCACTTCTAAAAGATCTGGTATATGCATAGAGCAACACGGGCCACCGGCGGACCGGAGTCCGTGTTGCTCTATGGGTATATGTAACCCAAACATTTATGGGAGATTTTTGTCGTAGCTGGTATCATTTTTGTCCGTGTAAACCACAAACACGAACACATGCAAGAAATTTTGGAACGTCATGTTAGTTGCTATTGTATGGTGACGCTCTATCTAGACATTATATCAAAGTATTGTATTACATTTTGCATGAAAATGGTAATAAAATTAGATGTACATTTATTAATAACTTATTTTTCTAAAATGTATCCGTGATTACTTGTATAATTAGATTTAAATTAAATAGTATTTAATTTCTGGTGCCATTTTAAATTTTGTTTTTTTTTTTAACTATTTTTCACAGATACAAAATCAGGATTCACAACACAACGGTTACTGTGAACTTGTCAGTTTGAAATACGAACTAGTATACGACCACACATGGTCTCTTATATACTATACCAGCTTCTGCCCATACTAGCATCCCATTTTTTCCCGTCCCGTTCGTGATTTTCGAAAAAAAGTAAAAAAAAATATTTTTGGTTAAAACGTATTTACGTATTTACGTATAACGTTTCCTGGCTCTAAGCTACCTCCCTACCAATTTTCAGCCAAATCTATTCTGCCATTCTTGAGTTATAAGTGGTGTAACTAACACGACTTTCTTTTATATACATACTAGCTTCTGCCCGCGACTTCGTACGCGGAATCCCGATATTTCCCGTTCCCGTTCTTGATTTTCGGTAAAAAGTAAAAAAAAGAATTGGGTAAAAAGTATCCTATGTCCGTCTCCTGGTTCTAAGCTACCTCCCCACCAATTTTCATCCAAATCGATTTAGCCATTCTTGAGTTATAAATAGTGTAACTAACACGACTTTCTTTTATATATATAGACTAGCTTCTACCCGCGACTTCGTACGCATAATCCCATTTTTTCCCGTCCCCGTTCGTGATTTTCGGTAAAAAGTAAAAAAAAATTATTGGTTAAAAAGTATCCTATGTCGGTCTCCTGGCTCTAATCTACCTCCCTACCAATTTTCAGCCAAATCTATTCTGCCGTTCTTGAGTTATAAGTGGTGTAACTAACACGACTTTCTTTTATATATAGATATATAGATTTATATTGAAACACAAAAAATATGCACCGTCATCATATATTGGTATTTATAATAAATCTGTAGAGCGGTCAATTCTGTACATGAAATATATTTACAAAATAACTATCAGGGGGTAATTAGTGATCGATAATAATGCCAAAAATGCAATCTGTAAAACTTTTGTCTGTCTGTCTGTATGTTCCTTATAGAAACAAAAACTACTCGACGGATTTTAACGAAACTTCGTACACTTATTTTTCATACTCCTGGAGAGGTTATAGTATACTTTCCATCATTAGAAGCAGAGCTGTGACGGCAAATGTTGGGAAATCGGGAGAAGTTACTACATTTTTTAAGCTCCTGTCGCGTGTGCAGCCTTATGGTTAAAGCTACATAGAAATCATGTATGACGGATATGTTCTAAATAAAATTATCTAAAAATATTCTAAAATAGCATAATATGTCTATCTTTTATGGTAGACTCTCAATAACATGTGTACCTAACTCTCGATAACTTAGCGGTTCGGAGCTCTCTGCTTATATTTGTTTACTCTTACGTTTATAATACTCGCTTGATTGTGCGGCTCCAATCCCTAGGCATACTTACTGTAACACACGCAAATATAAGTTTGTCGAATGTTAGGTTGCCCTCAGAGGACTTTACACTGTAACTGTAGGGCCGATGCGATGGTTGAAATTAGATTGAACCGATATTATAAATGTAAAAAATATAATATCGGTTCATCATAAATAAAGATTATGGTCTGAAGTAATACATAGGAATTTTACTTCTGGGATCGCGGGCAAAGCCGCTGGCATAAGCTAGTTTGAATTTTTGTAGCCATTCATATCTCTACAAAACTTAAGATATTAGTTTGATTTAATAGATTTATGGAGTGTATCTGTATCTAAGGTCTATTTAAAACTTTAGTTACTCATGTAAATCACGCCTTTTATCCCGGAAGGGGTAGGCAGAGGTGCACAGTACGGCACTTAATGTCATAGTAAAATGTAACATTATATAGTAGGTGAGCCTATTGCCATATACCGAGCAGAATTCCAGACTCCGTGCTAATACTGGGATTTTTTGAATAAACCGACCTTACCTAACTTTGCCCGACCTGGGAATTGAACCCGAGACTCCTTGCCCGGCAGTCGCACTTGCGACCACTCGGCCAACGAGGCAGTAAAAATTATGTAAATAATAGATAAGTACGAAACAAGAATGTTGAAAATTTTAACGTTTCTTCATACGAAGTTCATTTAGTACCCATTTACATATTACTTTATAACACATAAAGCAATAGGGTAGATGACTAATTTTTATTTTAATGTCC